TCGTACTCGGAATATTTTGCTCGAATTTTTTTTTAAATTTATCGTGATTCGAAATTTCATTTCATAAATGTTACCAAGTAAGATTCTTCGATAAATCGATTTCATCCGGTAATTTAATTTAGGAAAAAATTTTCTCCTAATTTGCACGCAAAGATAAAGTAAAGAAGTGGATTAATGAAGTGAAAATTTGAATTTAATGAAATTTCCAATTATTAAAAAAAGAAGAAGCAAGTTCTTCAAGATAGATTTTTATTTATAAGAATGAATGAATAAAAAATGAAACTTGAAACAACGGAAAAAATTCAAAAATTATGACAATTGCGTGTAGACAAATCATTTACAATTAGCAAGAATAATTATTTTACTAACTTTGATAATTATTCAGAAACTCATAATATTTAAGCACAGATTAATTCATTGTTGTTTGTTTCTTTTTTTATTTTAAAAGATTATTGCGAAGTGTTTGCAATCTTTGAAATATTTAAAACTTCAAAGAAAGTATTTATTTGAAATTTTATTACATTGTTGGCAATTATCGCTTACCGTTACTGTGAAACAAGCTGTAGCTTAGATTTGTTTGAAAGATGAACCAAATCTAAGTTATGGCTTGTTTTATTACTTCATTTGAGATGAAACCAATCATTGTTTTGTTAGTAATAATTATCTGAGTGAAGAAGTATGACATTTCAACGTCTGCTAATTTCCATCTTCTTTACTATACCATTACTTATCCGATTGCTTCTCTGGAAGTTTTATCTTACCTTTTTTTTATTACTTTATTTGAAGTTGTAATTTCCATTCATTCTTAACGATTATCACCATCAATGATAGCCAGGAGATTGATAATTAGGAATGATGTAAGTGAGTATAAATGAGACATATAAATAGAAGGAAAAATTTTTAATTTTACTTTTTTAGCATGATTCTGGATGATTTTAACTTTTATCAATTTTCCAATCTGATTTTTTTTTCCAATTTACTTATTTCAAAAATCTCGAAGTGATCTTTGGATCAAGCAAGAAGATCATCTTGACTGATTCACAAAAATGTGCTTTTCATACACTAAAATTTCAATTATCACAGGTTAGTCTTAATTAATGCAAACATAATTGATGTAAACCATATCCGAATATTCAAATGAAAAATTAATTCATTTTGAATGTTATCTTAAAAAATCTCAAAAATTTCATTTTTAAACGCATAATGATTTTAGTTTTCCTAATTTTATTATTTATCAAGTGAAAAGCATTGAAATTTATATGGTATGTTGTACTTTAGGAAAAAATTTTATCATTGCTCATTAAAAATTTGATCATCACTCATTAATAATATATTAGCATTAACGCCATCTTCCTATACCTCTGTTAAATTTTTCGAAACTAATTTTAAAATTTTGTTTAATTGCTAATAAAGGGAGAGAGAGAGAGAGAGAGGTGATTGGTCGCATTTAATTTCCTTAATGTCGTTATCAAATATCTTTCTTAATATCATTTCATTTTCTAATTATAATAGCAATGAAATTTATGTTTAAAAACTGCCAACATTTGGATGCAAATTTGCGAAACGTTTAAAATTTTTTAACCGTATTAATTTGAAAGTTTTGATGATAATACAAGCAATGAATGAGGTATTGCAACGGATATAAACCATATAAATATGCAATTGCCATAAATAATAAATATCATTTTCGAAATAGTATGAGTATATATTGCTATAAAAAAATTTTTCAATTTATTCCCACAAGAAAAAAAATTTTTTTTGATAAAATTCAATTCCATATAAATTGAATTTTATTTTCATGCATAGATAGTTATAATTTTAATAAAATATTAATTTATCAATTGATACTGCTTTGGAAGGATAAGATAATATTCCTACCTTTTTTTTCCAATTTCTTAAATTTTATTTTTGGAATGAATATGTATGCAAATTGCTGGTTATTTTTTTCAGAATTTTTGCTAGTTATTTCCTTTAAAAAAAGAAAAATAATTTTTTTCAAAACAATTTTAAATATTTTAAAAATAATCCTTCCTTAACTCTAATGAAATACACAAAGGTAGCATAATCATTCTAATTATTTAAGGTATACGAAAAAAAGACTGTTAACTCAAGATTTTATGAGAAGAAAAAACACGTGTTTATGAATAATTGGATTAGTGAAGAGTGTGAAGCCTTCGCATACTCTCTTTAACTTCTCGCCTTAGCAACCCTTTTTTTCGAAGGCCTTTTTGCCAGAAAGGAGGAGGAAGAAGAAGAGCCTAAGCATATCCTTCAATTCTTTTCCTCTTTTTCCCAAAACTTTTTACTAAATTTTTTTTCATTAGTTAAATGATTAGCGAACAAAATATCTCAGTTCATAGCTTCCCCATTCTCTTTTACTTAATTACTAATGATAATAATAATTAATGAAGGAAATTGAAAAGATTGAGAAGACAATGATTTCATGTAATTCGAAAGCACATTTTACTTACATTCAATTTATCAACAGTGAGCTCTTTTCTCCTCTCGAAATATTTAATATCACAACCATACTGATGATAGCAATACCATTAGAATTTACTGTAAAGCATTCGTTTTTTTTTTCATGATTCCATCAAATTGTTTCGATTGTGAATTTTGAAATCTTCTCAATGAAATTTCATCATTCTTTTTTTGCTTCATCATATCTTACATCATTTCTCTCTTTTTCTTTTCTCTCTCCTTGCTTATCTCTTCCTCGATTTTATTCCGTAATGTTTGTTTTTTATCGGAGTGAAAAATATTTTTGCCGGATTGAAAAATATCGACCTATTGATTGAGATTAAAATAATCGGAGATATATGACAGTCTATGCAAATGAGTGGATATATGTGGGAAACATCTTCCTATGAACTTTCGAATCTGAGCAACAAGCTTTTCGGACTTTATGTTGCATACAATCTTTTTCATTTCTTCCCTTGATCTATTAACATCCTCCTGGCCTATCCCAAGGATTGGAATAATGAAATACGGAAACTCCCGAAACTTTTACAAACTTGAAATATCTGCTGGACTGAAGCAAGAATTCTTTATTGTTATCGTAATTATTGATTTCTTATTATTCTGGTCTGATATATATCTCCTATTAAAAGAACAATGATAATCATGCTGATAAAAATCCTAACTTATTCCAGTGATAATAATAATGATGATAACGATAGCAATAGTTGTGATAGAAATTAGTTATGATGGAATATGTATAGTAATGATAGCAACAGCAACAGTTGTGATAAAATTATTTATGATAAAACATGATAATGACGATAACGATAGCAATAATTATGATAAAACGTACTAATGATCTGGCTATAATAATGATAAGAATTCTGAGGCTTCTAATTTGTTTGAAAATAGTACGGCTTTGAAATTCGGAAATGAATTAGAATTAATTGAATAATCGACGAATAAAGATATAAAAATACAATTTGTTTAAATATAATAAAATTAGCCATCTGGCATATTTTTCTTTCTCCAAATTGCCTGAAATCTCGAAAAAGAAGTTGTGATGTACTTTTCCGCTAATTTACATGATTGTATTTCAAAGAGTTTGGAATAAAAGAAAAGAAATGCGCGCTGTGTTCTCAAAAACTTTTTTCTTTTCTCTTTCTAGCTTAATTTAAATTTTCTTACATATTATTAGAAATTGACAGGCGCAAGACACTAATAATAGCTAGGAAATAGTGGGAAAAGATACAATTTTTTAATTTAATAATATTAATGTTCTCAAAGAAAAAATATATGAACATGAACTTCTTTAAAAATTGCTCTACTTTCAAAATTTTTTCCACAAATATAGCAAAAAAAAAGAATTTCAAGGGAGCAATTTTATTTTCTTTCTCGAAATTATCTGCAAAATTTTTAATTAATAAACAATCGTGTAGTAGGATGAAAATTATGGAATTTACAGGTGTAGTTTCGGGATTTGTTAGAATTTAATAAATTCGATCCATTCATACAATCTAATTTACAAAAAATCTTAAACGATTAAATAACTTAGTATAATCTTCTAAATTACTGTTCCATCCACCGTAGTTCTAATTTAATAATCTAATCTCCTATTTTATCTAAGCTTATCGGTAGAACTATAAAATCATTTGTATAACTTTTATTGAAAAGATATTTTTAATTCGGATAAGATGTCTGTCAATGCTTCCGTGTTATCATTATTCTGAGTATCATCTCTGGTCATGTTTTTAGATCTGATGAATGATTGGGAAATTGGTGGGACACAAAACAAATGGGTTTGTCCAAGTGACAGACATTTACAATTGAGAGCACAGTAAGTTTGATTAATTTTTTTTCACATAACTTCACATATTCACGTAAAAAATTCTTTCTTCAGAATGCTATAATCGTTGATAATAGATCTTTGATTATTCAAGATGGTAGAATTGGATAAATGAATATATATTTGGATGAAAATGAAGCATACAGAAGGAATAGATGACGAAAAGATAGAGGGAGAGAGAGGGCGAAAATGCATGAATTTCAATATAAAGAAGATAATTTAGGAATGCGTAGGCCTTGTAAAAAAAAGTATTCTTTCCTCAAAGTTTGGCTTAATAGAGACTATGCATACGTCTAATTGTTTGTTCATTTACGATTCACACTCTCCGTTATTTCCCCTTTGCGTGCAAAATTTTTTTTCTTTAATCATTTAAAAATGTCTCCTTTTTTTCTGGTATCAAATTGTGTGGGAAGCAATTTCTCATAATTTATCATAAATTAACGAAACAAAACTATCCCACTCATCTTAGGCATAACTATGTAAAATTCTGTTTAAATTGTATATTATATTAAAAAATTTAAAGAAGAAAGAACACTTTCAAATTTTTATCTTTCAATAAAAATCAATACCATACAATTCTTAAAATATCTGAAATAGTGTAATAATTAAAAAATTTTTTTGGAAAATTTTTTGGAAAATTTATAAGAAAAAATCAAATCACAGTGAGAGTAAGTAAGTAATGAGATGAAATTTTATGTTAAAAAGCGGTTGGAGTGTTCGAACAGGAAACGCTCGATCATCAGCAAATGCCAAGAAGAATGGTATAACAGATTCGGAGAAGAAACATATCACGGCTGTTTTAGCGAGAGCTGAAGAGAGAAGAGTACGAGAACAACAAAGGATAGGGTCTGTCTGCCTCACTAAAATATTTCCCGTATTTTTGAATTGTTGTTGACAAATTTTGAAAAGACAAATTCCTCCGTGAAATATTCAAAGATTAACTTTAATTAATTTTATCAATTAAAATAAATAATTTTTGTTTAAGGAATTATTTTCAATAGCTGTTTATGATGAATTTACAAAAATTTATTTTAATAATTTTTTTTACAGTAGAATGATCGATAGATTAGATAAGATGAAAGCTCGAGCTACGGGTAATGGTGTTACTCAGTGCTATATATGTTCAACTGATTTCGGATTACTTGCCCCAAGAAGTTATGCTGCCATGTGCTTGCAATGTCGAAGAGTAATTTATGCATAAATATTATAACCATTTCCATTTCCAATCATTTCCTCTTTTTTTTCAAATTGTTAGTGCTTATTGCGGGGAAGAAAATTTTAATTAATAAAAAAAAAGAGGAAAAATTAAACTTTCTACTTTTTTGGATGTTTTTTTTTTCGAATTGAAAAATGTTTGTTGAAAAAATAGTTACGCATTTGATTTCTTTTTTTCTTTTCTGCTTATTCCTTAACAATTTTTCATTGAATTACTTAATTATTTTCTACTTAATTTATTAATTTTCAGTATGTATGCCAAAAAAATTGCGGCGTTGACACGTATGATTGCGTACGACGTGAAAATATCTTTCTGTGCAAGATATGCAGCGAATATAGTGAGGTAGTAAGTACTGCAATATATTTTCGGTGACTGATTTAACCCTGATTCTTTCTACCATTTTTTTCTTTTTTATAATTTTTCCCCTTTTTTTGTCATTTCGCTTAATATACTTTCTTTTATTTGATTTTTTTATTCAAAATTTTTCTTTAATTTCACCTAAAATTTCTATTTTTAAATGAAAGTATCGAGTTTAATCATTTATTTCTCTTTTTTTTGTTAATATACATTTTTCAAATCAAATATTTGAAATTTAAGAGAGGTGTTAATATTTGTTCAAATAAAAAAATAATATAATATTTGATTTGGTTGAATTTAATAATAAATAACAACAAAGTTTTGTATGTTTCATATGATAAGTTTCAATGTGATAGTGAATTGATTGAAAATTTTCGTTTTTTTTTCTTATTAAGATGTGGAAAAAATCTGGTGCATGGTTTTATAAAGAAATACCGGAGTATATTAAGCCAGTTGAAGATGCAAAACCACATTCACCATTATCATATTATTCAAAAACTTCCTGGCAACATTATACGAAACCAGAAACATCGAATTTAACATATTTACCTGAGAAATCTCAACAACAACGAAAAGAACAAAGCAGGTTAATAGAGATATTTTCCGTTCATTAGTATTTTTTTAAATTTTTTCAAAACTTACAGTTGAGTTTTTTTTATTTTTTAAAACTTGAAAAATGATTGGGAACAGTAAGCTATGTGGATCGTTTTAATCTTATTCGATTATAGAAGTCTATTTCATAGCTGTATAATTTTTTCTAAGTTACAGTTCTGACTTTAATTTATCAAACTTACTTAACATCTAAAAAATATTATAATTCATTCTTTTACTCAAATGTTTGAAACTCTTAAAGAAAGAAATTTAAATGTATCATAAGTTTACATCATTTCTGTTGCAGCTCAGTTGTGCCTAATCGTACTCGGATAAATCCATCATGGTTACATCAAAAAGTACGATTATCGTTAAGTAATGGTTATGGTTCCGAAGATGAAAATGGGGATAATTCAGTATCCGAAGAATCGGAAGCATTCCAAAAGAATCTTCAGCCAACACAAACCGCTCCATCAAATCGGCATATCCGAATTCAAAAGCAAAATGGTGTACCCATTGTTCGTAGGTTTACAGTTGGTGGTCGAAATCGAATTACTCATACTGGTAGAGTAATGCTCCTTTTTCTTTTCTTTTTTTAATTTAACTCTTTTTATTTTCGTAAATTTGAGAATTGAGAAAATTTTTAAAAAAATGTGCTAGTTTTAGCACATTTATAGGAATTCCATCTGTTGATTTGCTTATTAATTTTTTCTTTTTTTTTCTTGTGACAACAACTTATAGTGTATTTTGTTTGACTAATAATTTTACCACACTGAACAGTTTTACAACATTTTAATCTTAAAATTCATAGATTATTTATATTTAATTTAGAGATATTGATTTCGAAAAGTTTCCAGCAAAAATTGTTAACTGTTATCGCTATTTTAATAGTGCAGATTAATTTAGCATATATTTTGATTTATTTGAAGAAAGAATCGAATCACATCATGCAATACCATCAACATCACCAAGGCATTCACCCTTATCATATGGTGATGATTTGTCGCAGAATCATTCATCAATTCCAGCATCAGAATCTATCGATTCTGGAGGTATCACTTATGCTACCTTACAATGTTCACATTCGCAATCAAATAATAACAGTTCTGGAAATGTGCGCAAAAAGACATCCTAAATATTCGGATTAGGATTGAAAGAATCGTGAACTGATGATTGATCTTTGATTCAGAATATTATTCCGAAGAATGACGTATTCTGAAATTGATGATTGTTGGAAGAAGTTGAGATGAAATCGTTCGATTTTGGCAGTTGAGATTTGCCAAAAAAAAAAAAAAATTAGGTCTCTTTCAGTTGTACCAAGTGATCATTCAGTGCGAATATCAAAAATTCCCGCTTCAGCTAATGCAATGAATCCGATGATAACGATGATTGGGCATACTGATGAAAACTGCAAACCTACTAGACATTCAAAATGCTCTCGAACTTTATCATTATTATCATTATCATCATCCGGAATGCCAAAAACATTTCCGTTATCCGAAATGCATACCGTTTTGGATCAAGAAATTCTTTCACAAATGGACAGAAGAAAATGTTTTCTTCCAGCACAGCAAACAAATAAAAGTTCGCAAAAAACTTTAGAAAATAAGGAAATTTTATTGGAAAATCAACTGAAAAAAATATTTCCTTTAATGATATTCACTAATGAACCATCATTATCGCCAATGGAATCACAATACAGTCGACAGGATCAATTTTTGGCATTTTCTCCAACTCACATTGCAAGTCCATCAAATCCGACCGGAACGACGATAGCAATAGCATGCTCAAATCAGGAAGGCGCTATGACCAGTTCCACATCATCCACATCATCAGCTCAGAAATCCGTGATGTCTCTCGAAAGTCTTCCAACAAATTTGGAACAAATTAAAACAGTTAATATTTCAATTTCTGCTCTTCTTTTTCCAATTTCTTTATAAAATTCTAATCTTCTTTTTTTTGTTAGAATTGTCTAGAATATAAATGTTGAAGGTAAAATTACAGTTTCGTAACAAAAATTTCTTGGGTATTATAAAATTAAACTTTCTTAAAAAATGTAAATTTTTGACAAAATTATATGATGAGCTGATTTTGCTATCATTTATATGCACCAATTGGTTAATTTAAATTTCTGTTAAAGTAACTGACAGAGCTTCAGCAAACGTTATTAAAGAAATTTGAGGATTTTAATAAGTTTAATTGTTCATAAAGTTTAGAACGAAACAACAGCTTTTTGCAAGTTTGGTTCGGATGATCGTAGAAGTAAGTTTATCTTTTGTTCTGTTTCTCTATATGTTACACATATCGTAATACTTTTATGACAAATTAATCATGTATATATTTTATATCGTTTCAAATATGTGCTTTTTATATCTTTGCCTTTTTTCCTCTAATTTAAATCTCAAAATTTTATGCATAAATTTTTAAATCAAAAATAATTACAGTAACATAATAATGATATCAAGAAATAGATATAGCTATAGTTCATTTCATTTGTATATCCTTTTTTTTCTTCTCATCTTAAGAAGTACAAATGTAGCATGAGAAATCAGGAATTGCAGTACAATTACCAACGAAAGGCCTATCAACCACTCAATCAGCGATTTGCTTGCAATCTTCAGCTGCTACCGAACTGATCCTACAAGATCAGGCAGTACGTCATGCTGTTTCCGGCAATGGTATTATTAATTTGCACAATTCTGATACTGGTGAATGTTACTGTATTTTCTCTCACTCTATTTACAATAACATTTTTATCATCAACATTCTTATCACTACAGATTATTGCGAATTAGGAGATATTGCAGATGTCAGAAATCATCAAAAGTTTTTTTTTAAGAATTTTTTTTTCTTATTAAAAATTATTTGTAAAGCGTTTTTACCGGCAACAATATAGAAATACTCAAATATGGCTTTATATTTTCATCTTACAGTACTTAAATATAGTTTAACTTAAAACAATTTTAATGTTTTTGCCTTATTATTTGAAATCCTTAAATGCAGTTTTAATACTTCGATCCTATCATCTGATAGATTCAAATTTATTAACAATTAAATCAATATGATGTAAAACTTTAGGAAATGAAGAAAAAATGCTAGGTCTGATCATATTGCATTAAGTAATTAATTATGATACCCAATTTTAAGTTAAAAGCCCATATGATATACTGAGAAGTGAAGAATGCAAGGTAATTCAAAACATAAATTTAAAATTTTTTAACTTTCAAATAAATTCTTGGCCCATATATAAAACTTCCAAATATTTTTTAGATATGCTCGGATCAATTCAATTTACACTTCGATATTCTGCGCAACAAATGGAATTGCATATTCGACTTACTGGTGCTAAAGTATGCATATAATGTAAATCATAATAGCGACCATCGATGTGAAATAGAATTTAGTTAAGATTAAAATGTTATTTTAAATTTAACTGTGCGATACTATGTTGATTTTTTTTAATTAAATTTTTTTCAGAATTTACGTGCAATGGATAAAAACGGGTTTTCTGATCCTTATGTGAAATTGTATTTAATACCTGGAGCCTCCAAAGTAATAATTCTCTTTTTTATATTACATCAGTTTACAATTTACCCATTATAGTATGCTCTTTTTTTCATGTTTTTAGCATTTAGAATTAACAATGTTTATTAAAACTTTTTATAAATTTCAAGCATGATAATTTATTATTTAGGCGACAAAAATGGTTAGTAAAACGATTGAAAAAACTTTAAATCCACTATGGAATGAAGAATTCACTTATTATGGTATCAGTAATGAAGATCAGTTGAAGAAATCGCTAAGATTATTGGTACTCGATCGTGATCGGATAGGTTCCGATTTTCTTGGAGAAGTCCGTGTTACACTCAAGAATTTGAAAAATGAGGAGGAAACATTTTACAACTTACGCTTGAAACAAGCAATGCTGGTAGTAAAATTTTATTTTAATTTTAAATTTGGAAGTTTTGCGAATTAAAATAATTAAAACTCAAATTCTTCAAATGTTAAGAAGCTTCTTCAAATACCAATAGTGATGAATTCAAGATTAGTTTTAATTTCAATAAACTCAAATCAGGCGCAAGATGTAGATGTTAACAATGAACGTGGAAAAATCTGTTTGAGCTTGTTGTATAACGTACAACAAGGTTCACTGTATGTTACGATTAAACGTTGCGCAGAACTTTTAGGCATGGATAAAACAGGATTCTCAGATCCATACGTGAAAGTGTAAGTATTAATTTTTTTTTGCTTACTTGCAATTTACTTGATTTCAACGATTCATTAATGAAACAAATATTTCTAACAACATTAATTTTTGAACTCTAAATTTTAATTAAAATGTTTTTTCATCAAATGTTAATGATTCTGCTGTCTTGCCCTATATGTAGCTACACGTTATTACCTAATCTACTTAATTCCTTTTTCTTTTTTTTATATCTCAACTTCAACAAATTCCATTCTAATTCACAATTAAAACTTTTCGAATATAGACTTAGATTTTAATTTCATTCAAATTGTACCTCATATCACCATACAAATACTTAACGAGCTTGATTTAAAAAATTTAGTTTTTTTTTTCAGCTCATTACTTCCTCTCACCAATAAAGCTCACAGACAAAAGACGTCAACAAAAAAGCGAACATTAAATCCGGAATTCAATGAGGTTAGTGATGTCATGCAACCGATTATTGTAAGATGAAAATTTTTCAATAATCTTTTTTTTATCATACATTATCTGTCTATATGGATTTTTTCAAATATTTCATTTATATTATTTAAATTTCAATTTTGAGACAAAATTTCATAATCATTTAGTAGTAATGGCAATCAAGTATTGCATACAATTGCTCATTCAAAAACTAACTTATTTTCAACTAATAAATGTATTTTTAAATTACTAATAGGATTTTTACCTTATAAAAAAGAGTTTTTTTTCAAAAATAAAAAATTTTTTTTCAGACATTAACATTTGTGATACCTTTCAAAGATTTACCGAAAAAAACGCTTCAAGTTGATGTTTTTGACAAAGATGTTGGAATGCATGATGATTATATTGGTAAATAAATTCTTTTTAAATTCTAAATATCATTTTACAAATGTTAACACTAACTATGCTCACATTGATAGCAATAATAATATTTATGTTGCAATACATGATAAGCATTCCGTATAAATTACATTTATAAAATAAGAATACATGTAATTAAGTTACATTTTTTAACTTCAATAACGTTATTAATGATAATTTTTCATCTTTCATTTATAAATTAACTGAAATATATACCCTTTGATAAATTTTATCCCTATTTAACTCAAATTTCTTTGATCAATTTGTATTGTTTACTGAATTTTTGAACAGAACAATAATACTGTTGATGAATCGTCGAGCAGCTTGTTTGGGAATGCAAATAAAATTGATTTAAGCTTATTTGAAAATTCATGAATTCATATTATTGTCTAAATAATAGTCATGCAGAAATTCATTTTGCTCTGTTCTCTTTTACTGAATTATGCATAATGATGGTATATTTTATTAGTGCGATATTTATTGTATTGAAAAGATGAGATTTATTTGAAATTCAAATTATTCAAAAGTTCGTTGAAAAGCCAACGAATGGAGATATGATAGAGAGAAATCATATCAAAGAGATCACTGTCTTTAGTTAAAGAAGTTGCAAACAAATAATATCAAATCTTTAATTACTTAGGGTTTATAAAATGAAAAGAATTTACGTTAGCGTTTAATTTTTCAAATACTTTGACTGTAAAGTCTAATTTACTGCACATTACACTTACAATTCGATTGGACTCACACCTAATATAAAACTGATTCTTGATGAGAACTGAATAATATATATGTATTAAATATCAATCGTCCGCAATATTGGCCTTTCATATAAATTGAGCTGTCATATTTACCTCTCCTATTTGTCTCATTTTTCAGGAGGTATTCTATTGTCAACGTCTGCGAAAGGTGAGCGTGAAAAGCAATGGAATAATTGTATTCAGAATCCAGGCTATGAATTCGAACAATGGCATAAATTAGAAGTCATTAAATGAGAGCAATTCTCTTTTTTGCATAATCGACAATGTAATTACTTTTCTTTGTCCTGCTCAATTGGAAATTTGCGTATATACTATACCGTCCTTTTTCCGTGTTTCTTTCCAGAATATTTCTGCTCTCTTCCGGTATACTTCTCCATATCATTTTGTATCGTGGAAATACGTCAGGCATACGTTCATTATCATCTTAATGTGTTCCGATAGTTGATAGTACTAGTAATAAATTTTTGCATAAAATTCCTCTTGGAATGGAGAGATGCTTAAATTTAAATAAAAACTGGGAATAAACATCACGTTTTCCTACCATGCTTACTAATTTATGTTATTCTTATAGAATGTTGTTATCCTTTTAAAAAAAGAGACCAATATGGTTATTAGGGAAAAAAGTTCCGAAGAAATACTCGACAGCACAAACACTTAACTAGACTTGCTAAATTGCGTAAGAAAGGAATTCGAACTATTGATCCTCTCAATAATTCTTCCAAAATTCCGTCATTTTTGGCAATATTTTATTGAAAATCAAGGAAAACACAAAAAAGAAAAAAACAATTGACAAAGAAAATGACACAGTCCATCAAATTAAAAAGAAAAATTGAAAAATCGAAAACATTTGATAAAATTACTTCCTAATATGAGGGACACTATACACAAAAAATATAGATATCCATCGACCGCAATGCTAACTCAATTGTTCAGTTTTCTCTGGTGTTGGATTGGAATCACATTCCAATCTAAATGTGGGTACTTTAACAAGGAATGATGTTCGATCTTCTTCTCGTTCCATTGTGAAATTCCCCCTGAAACAAACAAATGTCTCGATTTTCATATAATGCCATTTTTTTAGCAACTAAATTATTGTGCTGTATAAGTACTACTTAATTTTATGAATATTTAATATTGCTTCGATTTAATTACTTATCGATCCAATAATTACCACAAATTATTTCACTTTATCTAGCAACGAAAAATGAATGGCATAATAACAAACCATGCATACGATCCTTTATCCACTACTACACCAACCATACCGCTATATTGAAATGCTGGCTCTTCTGGTGTCAGTCGAGGATTCTGATAAAAAAATGTCAAATTTATTCGAAGAATTTTAATTAAACAGTTTTTTCTTCGAAGATTGATGGAAAGCTAATGCCATGTTTGCTGCATTTTAAATGATCTTTCGTCCGACCGTCAAATTTAAGTGATATCTTGATAAATTTGCTTTCAAGAACAAACGTCGATTTTTCATTGTTCAGCTCATTTGTGAGGCTAACGATGAAAAATACCATAACATAACAAAAAAACGCACCCCACCAGCAATGCTTGGCATTTTTTGTTGCTGCATATTACTTAAGCTGTAAACTTTCATTTCTCTCGAACGAATAATTATGTGACAAGGTTTCAAATTTTCCAGACGTATTACATAACGCCACTAGAATACATATATTGAAGTATACCATGAAAAGAGAACTAATAATACAGAGCACGAATAAACCAAATAAAAATTCAATCGATTGAATTAATCTTAATCGAATAATATTCATTATCTTTATATGGAAAAATTTACTTTCAAAGCTTTTTGATTAAAAATACTGAAATTTTATCTCCTTTCACGAAATCGATAACAAAAGAAACAAACCCAGTGTTTTTGTTGTCCACTGACTGTATTTAATCCAAGATAAAATGTTATCACAGTCACCTGAAAAGAACAAAAATTTTTGATGGACAATAAAAAACCAGTACCGTTTACAACATAGAATGGCAACCCCAAGGTCAGAATGCACCATTCATATTACCTCTAGTGAAGTGAGCCATGTTCGCAGCGAAAACAAAAGATTTTGAGTTAGAAAATTTTTGTCACAAATAAAACTATTCATAGGGCCAAAAACTTATAAATGACCATAAAAAAGTTCTCAATTCAAAAGTCTGTATAATAAAATATTAAAATTTGGAAAAGGAAAAAAATCCAAGTTTGATGAATAAAATTTCAGTATAATTTAAAAAGTATCAAAAGCACTTCTACCCGTATTCCATCTGTCGTTTCGCGGTAAGCGAAGTGGGGTTTGAGTTGATTCAATATGCAATTTGAATGTTGACCTATCAGAAAACTTGGTTCTTTACGTATACTAAATATGAGGTCTGAAAAAGAAGTGTAATCTATAAATGGGGATTAAAAGTAGTACTAGTAATGAAGTTATGAAAGAAGTTACCATTATCTTCTACCGCTGTACATTCGAAAAGGCCACCGAACAGATTATGAACAATAGGCCGTGTGATATGTGTCCTATATGGTACAATCTCATCATGAGGAACACAATCCATTCCAAATACAACAGTCAGAACTTTTTCACCATGAACTGTACCTGCATCTTCCAAATACGAAGTAATGTCTACTGGAAAATGCTGAAATTCAAAACTAACAAGAAAAGATTGTAAAATTATTTCATAAAATTGAATTACTGAAATATGTTGCAGAGAAAACGTAAAGATTGACTAGACTTCTTGGAGATGAAGTGAGTGGCACCGCCTATTAGTATGGATATCGAAGTGAAAAATATTCCAGTTCCTACAATATAACTCTGCGATATGCTAAGAAAAATTGAACGAAAAGTCATAAATTTATGGAATCATTAAAATATTTACTGATATTAAAATTTTCTCCATCTTAAAAGGATAAATAAGAACCACAAATAATAGAAATAACTACGAAAGCTTCCGGCTTCTCTCAAACTTCTTGGAAGTCTCGCCATCACGTAAGCTAACAGAGCTACGCAAATGAGTGTCCGATAAACGTAAACATTTAAAATAAATTTCAAACACACCATATTTTTCCAATCACCGCAGTGAATAAGCACTTGATAAAACAATGACTTGTGAGTTATTATTACGGGATCATCATTACTGAAAATGAAAATAAGCCCGATAATCGGGAATTTTTTGAATTAAAGTTTGTATTACAGATTTGAATAAATAATGATTTTCGAAAGGAACTTTGATAAGAGTTTGAAATTTGTCTAACATATGTATAAAATGCAGAATCTAACAAAAGCTAACAATTACGATTGATTATCGCATGACTAAAAAAATGATAAACAAAATGAAAACATTAAACAAAAGAAAGTTGTAAAATGTGAAATGCATTCTATAAAAGATGAGAAAAAGTGAATTGAACAATCCGATATACAATTTAAAAATTTGCAAATACTTACTTTGCATTAAGTAACTTTTCTTCAACAGGACAGGGAAAGGAACACAAAACGATACCTCTGTAGGGAAAGAGCTTGTGAATAAATAGCTGCAAAAACGTATTTTAATAATTCGTCAATGAGCGGCACAATATTTCGAACAAATTTACTGTCAAAAAAGTTAGATGTTATTTGATAATACAGTTTAAGATATCAAGCCTCATTCTGCATCAAATAATCGATACATATCATAACTGATGTTATCAAGATGAAAAACTTGAAATCCTACCTGGCCCGGCGTATAAGGCTCATCATCAGTTTGAACAACTGTTAATCGGCCTAAATCCTTCAAAAAGACATTGCCGTTTCCTTCTCGCAATCTAAAACTTATTCTTTATCAATTTCACTGGAAATACATTTGAAACAAAAAAATCAGAACCGCGGAGAGAAATTACAAAAGTTGGCAAAACAGGACCATACCTTGCCAATAAAGTAGCTGATGCAAAAAATGACCGAAATGGTGCGATTCCAAACAACAAACCCCGCTGGGCCAGCAATCCAGTCATCTCACCATATCAATTCAACCATGTGACCAACCTGTATGCCTTTTCAATTTTTTAATTTCTGTTACAGTTCCGAAATATTAAAAAAAATATTACGGTCCAACCACCACCAAAAGAATTCATTCCTCAGTAAGCCCGTGAAAATATTCCTAATCAGTTCTGATCTATTTACTTAAAACAATCCATTACTCATAAACAGCATCGCCAAATTCTTAAATTTATTGTTAAAAGCTACCAAGAAGCAGAAATCTTCAAATTCCAGCTATGAAGAAATTCAGCTGACAACAATAACAAGTAAAGGTTGGCAGATTATGAAGCACCAGATATAGCAGTCATGTCACATTTAAAAAATTTTATTTATGTGACAACTATACGTATACAAACAAACAGTGAGGAACAAAGAAATGATTAAAAGTCTGCTACTGATTGCTATTCCTCTTCACACCGATATGAATGGCACAAATCCCGCAAGACAGATTGCTATACTTTACATCCTTGAAACCAGCCTCCTCAATCATCCATTTGTATTCATCCTGGAAATTATTTTATTTCTGAAGAATCAAATATTTTCGGGAAATAATAGTAAAAAAAAGCAGATAGAGAGCTTAGTGTTTTGACACACGATTTGACATTCGAGGATAGATGAACGAGCTTTGGAATACAAGAAGTTTAGAAATTCTTATTTACAATATATGCAAACCTACCTGATTCGGAAATTTTCGTATACTTTCTACCAAATAGCGATAACTATAGAAATCACCAGCTATAATTTGTCCCATAACAGGAATGATTTGAAAACTATAAAAATCGTAAAACGGCTTCAATAACGGATTAATACAACTAAATTCCAGACAAGCAAATTTACCTCCCGGTCGAAGAACCCGATATGCTTCTCTGAGTACCTAAAAATTCCTACGACATTGTTAATATTACAATATATTATTGAATATGCTAACATTACCAATATTACTTCTAATCGCTTATATTTTCTGCAAAGTCACCAGTAAGTTAAAGTCAATTTTTTGCCTTCAGAAGATATATATATATCATTACTTAAATATGCGGGTCCATATCAATGGAGATTATAGTTCCAAAATTCAATATATTTGCAGACATACCTTATCAATATTTGTGCAGTTCCTTATCCCAAAAGCTATTGTGTAGAGATCGAATGAATTTTCATCAAATGGCAATGCTTCGGCATCTCCGCACACCCATTTTAATCGAGCTGCATAGTTTTATAGTTTTGAATATTCTTGGAATATTAAGAATATTTCTGATCAATGAAACTCATCTCGCTATAGTTCAAACTGATTAAGTCAGCAAGTAGCTTTATAAGACACGATCTCAATACAACTACAATTATATTAATGACAATGTTAAAGTAGACAAGATATAGGTTCTTAAAGCAAAATATTCTAGAAATGACTACTAGCAAAGCTCCACATAAAACTGGAAAAAGGCTGCAATGTATTAGTGATAAAAATTCGAACTAGATAACACACAGTGAAATAGATAACACGCATATTAACGACTGATACTGCTAACTTATTTAAGCAAATCCATTTATATAAAAAGAAAAACCTTTCAAAACTGATCGATCATCTATTGCACGTTGCTGGCCAACTTTAAGCATATTTTCATTGATGTCACAAACAGTTACTGAACCTGTGCCTTTTCTGAAATAACAAGAAAATTGAGACTTGCAGTTTGACAGGCTGCTATGAGTATAATGGAAATGAGAAGAAAAAATTTCAATGAATTAAAATATTAAGATATAATATATTAATGCCAGCAACACATCAATGCATCACAACGTGTTGAGATATGCAATAAAGCGTCCTCTCCACCAAATGGTAGAAAGCAGCATATATATATTTGGAACTATTAATATATCATACGAGCATCAAATTTCAGAAATTCAGTAATTATGGCCTTACATTACAAAAAAAGCAATATTCAAGAACTTTTTTACTAGAACGAAAAGTAATACTTGGATTGTATCTCCCGTACAGCGCGAAAAGCAATATCACCTGTGCCTCCTGCAACGTCCACTATTGAGGTATTTGCCTTAAGTTCTAGGTTCCTAACAAAGTAATCCTGCAAAATCTTTAATTTTAAGAATGACTGTAATTCTTGTAGCTGAAAGTTACATTACTATCAGAAATGTTAAAATACCAAAGTGTATTTTACGGAATTCATTCATTTATTTCTCTTTTCTTTTTACTCTCTGAATGAACTGAATGGAAAAATAAATGAATATAAAATCATTAGAAAATTACAGTTTAAAAAACAGCAAAGATAAGATTAGAGAAAAAAATAACCTTCCATAGCCGATGAATGCCCACCGACATCGCATCATTCATCAAATCATACTTGTCAGCAACGCTCGCGAATACGGCATGTACTAAAAAGCAGGTCATCAATCGTATCTTTTGTATTACTATCATGAACACTATCAAAGATAAGACCCAAGTTTTCTTATCTTGAATTCCAAATCTACTTGAATTCTTCATTAAATTACCTAACTTATCCATGTTAACAGACCGTGCTAAGCGATTGGTGTTGGCAGTTAATTCGAAACTCTGTATAAACAACCATATATTAAAATTTTACCAACTGAATTATCTCATCTTAATTTTAACACAAGTTGTCTGGTCATTTAAATGATTAACAAAGAGAAAGACAATCTCTTGAAGCGATGTAAACATCACTCCATTAATCAATATATCCGTTTAGAAATCAATTTTCCCTTGGAAATATGAAAAGAAATGATATGAACTAAATCAATCTCTCATACTGTAAAACGTCATACCTTTCTTACTTTTCTCCTTTTCATCGACTTCTTGGAAACCAAAATGTGTGGTAGCAGAACGAACAGTGATATTGTCTAGCGATTTCCGATGATATGGGATAGTTTTTCTAGTCAAAACGGTTAACCACCAAAATTTTCCATTCATTCTTAAAATATCAGTTTATAATACTATTCCGAATAATGTACACTGTTCTGTATTTCCGGAAAATCAAATCTCAATCAATTAACTAAATCACCAATGCCCATTCTATTTCTCACCAAAGCTTCACATTATTCTACTATTATGTTATCCTATCAATATATGTCTCTTCATCTCTCCAACTATTGTTAGAGAGAGAATCTTTTATTCTCAGTGACAATATGATAACACAAATGTCGTCATTCACTGCTACTCCATCAATTTCAACAAAATATTTCCAATCAGTATTCTTCAATTTCATCATTCTCTAAACCTCCTCAAAAAGCACAATTCCTCGAAAAACTGTAAGAGAAAAGCTGAGAGAATGCAAAAAAAGCTTCGCGCACACAAAACTTAAAAGTAAACAAGCTGAAAGCATAAATTCGATCAATTAATAAACAACTTCCAACTAATTGTGCGAGAATTCCACGGGCCGCATCAACTAACTCTTTGCGTTTCCCGTCGTTTCCATCAGTTTCGTTCAAATAGCATTAATTATTGAATTCTCTTATCATCGTAATAGGCAAAATGTGTGCTTGCAATAACATCCCTCCTTCCTCCCACGAAATTATCATCCTCACTAAATTATCACATCGATTTGAGTAAATATGTACAGTATTGAAGTGAAAAAAATGAGTTAAAAAAGGAAATAGAAGGAAAAAAAATTTTTTCAAGCGTTTAAATGAAATTGTCACTCAAAATATGCCATTAATCGAGCAGAAATATGCGAATGTAATTATTTATTCAGAACATGAAATATCGCAAATTTGAGTGTCTTTATATTCGAGTAAATAAGTTCGTATTAAAGCAAAAGAAATTAATTCTGCATTTCAGGTTTATGCAAGGGGGTATAAGGAGCTTTTATGAGCAATTACGGGATAGTGAATTGTTGTCATCTAGGTTAGTTTGTTTGGATTTTACCGGATAACTAAGTTTTTAAATTTAAAATGTTCAAATTAATTCGGAATAATTGCATTAACTCGATTTTTAATGATTAATATTAGATTGTAATACTTGATTTGAATAATAATTTGAAGAAATATTGCAGTGGTGCATTGCATCCTATTGGATTTACCACTGAACCAAAGGTACCGTTTGGGGATTTGCTGAAGAAACCATTATCATTACCAACTGCATTGCAGAATGATCATTCCAGGTTTGTAAAAATTTTCTGAATTTAAAATTGTTCAAATAGCTATGGTTAGCACTGGATCAGTTGAGTGGAAAATTTTAGACAAAACTGCTTTCAATAAGTCATTATATTGACTCTCATCGTTGAGGAATATACTGCACCAAGTAATTGAATTATCTTTGGATCAAAACTATTCCTGTACTGTATATAATTGGATTTTAGAAGACCGAAAAAAACGAAAAGTTAAAGTTTAAATTATTCTTTTCTTGATGAGTGCATATTTTTATAGTTCAAATAAATGTGTTCCATTGTTTCATTTTTAAGTCTTTGAGAAATTTGCTTAATGCATACAATAAAGTTTTGAATCTTTTATAAATTTGTCTAGGGAATGTTGAAAAAACATTTGGTGTGCTACATGCTATGTATTTTCTTTTAAGGATACTTCCAAAAGTAATGACAAACGATACTACTGATCACCGTACTTTAACTACATCGTTAATCACATCATTGCTGCTTGAAAACTGTGATGGTAAGATATATGATCGAAGACAGAAACGATTTTTTGCTAAAGTCAAGGTTTTTTTATTTTAGATATTTATCGATATGTTCGAAATATTTTGTGATATTTTTGCTTGCTTATGAATTGACACTTTAATTTATTGTTAGTATTCAGAGTATAGCAAAAAAATTTTTCCTTAATAAAGTCATATCTATTGTCTGATTTCATAATAGTTTATATTTCTAATTATTATTATTTTGTTTCGTCGTAGTGAAATTGATTTATTTGTTGAATATATATTTTGCTTTTTCTGATGTTTTTTATAAATAAATTCTGCTCAAAATTCTCCTATCGTTAATACGAATGCAAAAATGTCCTATTCATTCTTGCACAAAAATTTTGCTTCAAGTTTCATACATTTAATATATTGAAATGAAATTTGGTGTCACATCGCAAACTACATTAATTTTTAATCAGGATGTATTGTAGGCAGCACTGATTAGATAATTAAATTAATCGTCGAATATTTGTTAATATAATCGCTTACAATTTCTTATTTTTTCATAATTCATCTCTCTGATTTGGATGTTTTTCGTCAGGTCGAAAGAGGTCATTTATTACGATCCGCAACAGAAGGTGATTTGGCCTTGCAGTACTTCAGTGATATGCATAATGAAACAATAAATTCAACTGCTAGAGACATTTTATTTATGAAATGTCTTGAATTTGGTGATGTTTATCTACGAGTATCTACAACAAAGGTTTTTTATTTTTAATTTATCTTTTTTTTAGTCTTCTATATTTCATAGTAGAATTGCAAACGACGTTATGGTAATGTAATTTCGCAAATGACTGTACTTTTTACTGAATTTAAGCTTCATACTTCTACTGTAAAGTCTTAATAGTAGTGCCTTTTTCACATTTGTATGGTTTTCATGTTGCTTTGTTGACGGATTTTGAGACTTCATTGTTGAAAGCAGTTAATGACATCGAAATTCGATTTCGTTTTCACCAGTATTCCGATCTGTTCAATTTTGTAAGCCAGCTAAGTGTGGGAGATCGTGTAATAGTGCAAGTTTGCATTTCTAATATTTATAGTGAAGAATATTTTCACAAGACTTGATCTTGACAATTTATCACTATAGTAAGACTGTTAAACTGTGGCCTGCATTTTAATGAGTAAATAGTCGTTTGCTGTCATATGAAGAATGGACGATGGAACTATCGATAGCTAGTGATGTTAGGTCAGTTGGATGGTCTGAAGACCCGGTTTCTTTAATAAAACAGTGGCTCTTTAAAAAGCGTGTTGTCCTGAATGAGCAGGCAGTCTATTAACTTAAGAAAAGTTGTTGGTTAATAGTTATATTTTAAAGGCTATATTTTGAATAGAAATCGAACGTTTCTTAAGACTTTTACAAAACTAAATTTCAATTTAAAAATTATTGTTTCTACAGTTTCCAAGAATTATCAATTCGGATTTTATTTTCTTTCATTTAAAAAATTTGCAGCTCAAATCCGGAACCGGTGAAAGGCGAGCGATTGAAGAGTGTTTCAAGCCAGGTTGGGTGGAGTGGTTTGGTGAACCTGTTCCGGATGGTGGATTCTTGTTTGGTATACGTCTTGATGTAAGGATATATATATATATATATATTGTTACCATAGTGGTATGCAGTCTACAAACGATTTTTTTAATTGATTCGGTGTTATATTGGAAATCCTAAGAGCTGATTGGGGACGGGAAAGATACTATATTGTAGTTAATGTATTAAGGAAACGGGGAGAATTTAAATTATAAAGTGTTAACATTCAATTATCAATTTTTTCTTCGAATGGTTCAAATGTTTATGATAAGTAGAGAATACTGGTTTTAGGTTATACCTCTGATTATTAAACACAGGAATCAAAGCATGAAAGGAAATATTAATCGAAATAGAAAAATGATAAAAGAATGAAAGAAGATTTGGTACACCCTACAAAATTGAATGCAGCTTCATTGAATAGCAGTTTATTGGAATGAGTGTGACATATGAACTGTGACATATGAAATTTTAAAAAAATTATGGTTTTTAGAAATTTCTACAAATTTAGAAAGAAAAAAAAACTTAGCATATAAAATGGAATGGATGAGAGTGTTAAATGTTATCATATCTCTATATCATGTGTTGAAACATGTAGTTCGAATATCATGCCGAATTGTGGTGGGGATAAAGTACATATTAACTTTGAATTTAAAATGATTTCTCTAATATTTTATTCTTTCTGTCTTCTCCAAAAACATATTTAAGTATCACATTTCTAGTGGAATTTCAAAAACGTTAATATCATCATGCTTTTTAATGCGCTCCATAATTTCATCGTGATTTTATTTGATTTTATATGTACAGATTAACTGTTTCGTAAATAAAACAGTGGTGATGCGGATTTGTACTAGTTAGGTGTATAATAAATTAGATGTATAAATTCAATTTCAAACTAGTTTTTAATTTCTTATAAAAGTGTAAAGAATTCGAAAATTTATTTCTCTGCTTCGTTTTTCTTCTTTCTATGCGTTATTTCCATAAACATTAATTCTTTACTGTAAGAACTGAAAAGTCGTTGAAGAAAATAGAATTGTAGAATTCAATTAACTAATTTTGCCGTGGTCGCCACTATTAAAACCATTAACAAATGACATTTCAGTTTGGTCCTACGGTAATTATTTCGTTAACAAATTTCATTCACGTAATAATAATTCCGTTCTTCACACGTAATAATAATTAATTTTATGTAGATTTCAGTCTTAAAATTAAGAGTAATTTTTGATAAAAGAAATCTAATTTTCACTCTCAAATAATCACCAAAATCTTTTGATCATTCAGAATAGCTTGCCCCTCAATAACATATTTTATATGGGCTAATCATCCAGGTTAGGATAATCACTCCAAACGATCCAGTTTAATTCACCGATTAGGATTGCTTGGATTATTTAAATCCTTTGGGAGATTTTTATGTTTTGTTCTATTATAGCATTGTTGAAGTTCGAATAGTTTTTATCGTTGTTAAATTTTCTAATTTTAAATAGAGTTTAAAATATAACAAAAAGTATTTACAGTTATTATTTACAATTAGTTTAATTGTTATGTAGTCATCTTATCTGCCAATTATTCACTATTATTTTCTGTTTTTCGATTCTTTACAGAAACTTCTTCATTTCTTTTATTAAATTTGGAATAAAATTTCTAAAAATTTCAGTTCTTTTTTAAGAGCTTTTTGGTAACTAATTATATCATTGCTTTTCATCTAATGATATGTATGAAAAGGATACATCCTTTGCGTTTAAAATCTTTATTTACACATATTTTACTTTCTTTCTTCATGTTTTCAAAAAATTTACCACAGATTTTTTTTCTGTCTGAATGATATCAGGGATACAGCTTTCATTTCATTTTTTATTCTCTCATTTTATTTTTTTTAGAAGGAAATCGCCCACAAATTTATCATTTTTTATTTGCAATATTTCTATTGACTTTTGATCATTAGTTATTTCCGTGCTTTCATCCAATAAAAATCAATTTTCCTTTCCAGTAATAAAACTTGTTTTATTTTTGATCCGAGATGAAAAATCATTTCTATTGTGGTTTCCCGAAAAAAAAAAGAAAAAGGATGAGAAATCAATGATTGACGACACTATGAAAAGCGCCATGCGGTAGAGTAGATACACTATAAAATAATTGGTGGTTGAGTTACCCAGCAGTCTATTGCCCATTTTCTGTTTTGTTTATTTCATATCAGTGAATCAGCTGTTATTGGCGTTAATGGTTATTGGATGTTGAAACTGATTGATTTTTTGGTAAATATAGGTGAAGTGAATCTATTCATCAGTTTTAGATTGAAACTGAATGGGAATGTCAAACATGTTTCTGAAATTAGTAATGAGAAATAAGTGAGGCTTAACCGAGAAGAAGACGAAGAGGGAAGGATTTGTAGACGATTTTTTCATTTAAGTTCAAAGTTGTGTTTATTTCCAAACTTCTATATATTTTTTTCTTGACTTCTGAATTTTCTTTGCAAAATTTAATCTTGTTTTATTCATAGAAAAGTGATTTCGTCGGTTGATACAAAATTTTAATTGATTAACTTTCCAAGTTCTCGGTCATCATTTCGATCCTTCCATATCTCATATCGATTAGGATAAAATTGATTGCTAAGTTTTTTTACTATCATTTAAGCATCATATATGCATTATTTGCTTTAAATAAACCATTGTTCATTACATGTGTGTTCCCTGATTGATTTTCTGATGCCAAGCTGCTTGCTACCAGTTTAGTTGCAGAAGAACGATAATTCTCCACGACTAAACTCGAACTTCCGTTCACTCATCCCTATCATTCCAAATGCTTTGTGTATTTACGCCGTGCTATTAGTTTACTGCAATATTTTCTCGGATATGATATCTTTTAATATTTCTTCCGGAAATGAATCATTGAATTTTTTCTGAACTATGAAATTATGTTGTTTTTATTTATCTAGATAACTTGCATTCAAAAAAAATTTCTCCAGTTTTTTTTTTGCTCCTATTTGCTGATTATAAAATTTTCTGCTTCAGTGAGATCCTTTTTCATTCCCTGAAAACATGATCGCATATGATGCTATACTTCAGTTATATATTCGTGGTGTAAGAGAATAATTAAATAAGCATAGAAAATTATACGGTATGAAAATCAGAATGGTGATACAAAAAAAAATAAAATTACTTAATACGAAATATACAAAGTTAATTAATACAAAAAATAAAGTTACTTAATTAATAATTTGGTCTGAGTCAAATAAAGTTTTGAGAGGGGAGATATAGAGAAGGAAAGCCTTGTCTCGACTTTTAGAAATTTGATTTATGGTTATATTTTACAGAGTGCTGTTGGAGATATGGATGGATTTTTCAATGGTCGACGATTATTTGTCGTTCCTCATAATGGTGCGGTTCTAGTAAGTGGTGATCGTTTGAGAAATCCACGAAACGTAAATATTTTGGATGAAGACCCAACACTCTCTATTTATAGCTTCCCATCACATTTGGATCATTATCCTGATGATTACTTGTCTTTAAGGTAAGTTTATCGGATTTTTTGTCAGTTGATATTTTTACAAACTTTATTTACTTAACAAGTAGTCTGCACAAAAAGTTTAAGATTAATGCGATAATAATATTTTGAGAATATGTCTGTTTTTAGTTAATACAGCAAAATAGATTTTTATTCAATTCAGGCGTAGAGAACGTGAGGCTCATAGTGTGCCTGTGTCTACGTCGGCATTTCAAAATGACGGCATTATTGTTCCTATAACTCGCCTTAATAGTAACAATAGTAGCAGTAATATTTCTTTCAATCGTCCAGTGGTACGGGAAGTTCCCATACAAATCGTGCCAGCAACAAGCAGTCATAGCCAGGTGCTACGATCAAACTGTCCGGCATCATCTGCTTCATCAACTGTGGGCAGGTTTCCGGTGAATGATACGGATGAAGCGTGCGTATTCCGTTCTTTCCATGAATAATTAATTGGAACATTGATCGCTTAATTCTAATTCTTATTGACTTTTTTGTTCTTTTTTATCCTACTTATAACTTTTTGTCCTACCTGATCAGAACGATGGTGGTGGTGAGGCAAGCGATAAAGATTTCTGTTAGATTATGAATTGCATCTTTACAAAAATTATTGAATCAAGCTCTTTTAGTTTTATGAACTTGGATGATAATCAAAGCCATAAGTCTCAAGAAAAGAACGATATCAATAAGGAAATTTCATTATCGAAAAAACCTATTTCTGAAAATGTGGCATCAGTAACATCATTTTTGAAGGATTCATCTCGTAATTTATCACGAAATAGACCAGTAAAGCTCCCGGTAGCCACGGAAACAGTAAGGTTAAGATTACTATTCTTTGAGGATCAACACTTTAAGATCAAAACATATCCTCTACAAAAAGTTAATGAACATGTTCACTTTGTAATTCTTAGAAATAATTAGAATTTTGAGATTACTGCAAAGGTGATTTTTCAGAATTTTTTAAATTTATATTGATCAGTCAAATGCAGGTAAAATTATTTAAAAATGATTTCACGGTTTAATATTTGTAAAATAATCTTAAGGAAAAAAGAATTTATCCAAATTAAGGTTGAAATCAAATGATGGAGGATTAATGGAAGGTGATCGCGTGGTTTGGTTCGATGCATTGGGTATACCACGACGAGGAACAGCTCGGTGGATTGGTTATCTTCGTGGACATACGAACATTTACGTTGGAGTTGATTTTGTTAGTTAATTTTTCTAGTATTATAAGCTTTAGTCATAACTTTACCTGTGTATTTTTGTTGAAATGAGGAATCAGCCAGAAAGATTTCTGCCTGTCTATCCTGATTTTTCGTAGAAGGTAGAGGATGTTTCCAAAAAAATCGGTCAGGGATTATTATATAACTGGCATGTCTCATTTCTTTGAAAAGGAAAAAACTAGTGATTTTGGGTTACTTTAAAAGTGCAATACATATGCTCTCCATCTGTCTATCTGTCTGTCTATCCTGTTTCATGTCTTTTTAATTCATTCTCATGGACTCTTTGCATGTATTTCTTCGTTAAATTGTTTTTAGTTCAACCTATTTTCCTTTCAAACGGACTTTTTTAATTTTAAATAATTCTTGTTAAGTCTCTTAAGATTTTAATATTTTCAAAAAAAATTCGAAATTTTAAAATTGTCTTTTTTATGTCCCTCTTTTTCGTGAAATGATGTCTAATAGGAAGGCAGTGAGCATCCTAAAAACTGCGTAAATTGACGTATCGGAACAGACGATATGTGCACATATTCACGAAGGTCATATATATGCATATTTTATGACAATAAATTTAAGGTGACAGGACAAGAAGGGTCTGCAGTTAAGTCGAACAAATAAGTTTCAGTCATTTCGATAAAATAATCATGAATATTTCGTTCTTTTTAAATTTGTCTTTTCGTTTGTTTTGAAAAAAGTGATAAGTTTATGTTATTATAGGATGAAGCAATAGGTGGTGGAACAGGATATTTTGAATGTGTGGAGTTGTTCCGTTGTGCGCCAAATCATGCAGGTCTGTTACCATTATTGGTATGCATGAAAGAAGCGGATATGGATGATGAGGAAAATAATGCCTTGGGTATTGGAAGCTTTGGATTACGACAATCATCTGAACCGCAACAGCAACAATTGCTATCATCTCCGATTCGAATTCATAAGGATATGTCTTCATTGCAAACAGAATCGTTGGTTAACGAAAAAGAAAACAAAGAGACATCGAAGCTTCCGCAGTTTACTGTAGGTAGGGCTGTTTATGCCAAATTTTTCTTCTGCTTTTTAACTTTCTTTTTGGATTTATTTTTAAATGTAATGTAATAGATGCAAAATTAGAAGGTGTATTTTTCAGATATTCAAAAAAAATACATATGAATTAGTTCAAATTAGTCTGATATTTTATATTTGTTGTCTTTAAATTCTCAAATTATCGTTACAAGTGTTCAAAATAGTAAAAGGAAAATCTAGAGAGGCAAATCTAGAACAACTATATTTACACATATTAACATTTACACAACCATTAGAAATAAGAAGGATTGAATAAATTTCTTTTATTTTTTGTTCTGAGTACTTGGTGTTGCATTAGTATAATTCTGTATCTTGAAATTTAGTATCATAATTTTTCTAGGATCATGCGTTGAAGTATTTTATCGAAATGAAATGCGCTGCGGTGTTGTTAAATGGATTGATAATAATAATGAATTAATCCAAACCAACCGATTAGTTGCTGTTGAAATTGTGAGTCAAATTAATACAAGTTCGACTGATGTATACAAATCGAAATTATGTAGCTCAAAATAAAATCGAGGATTTTAAGTTTAATTTTTAAGGGTTAAAGTTCTAACAACTGTAAATTACCATATTTTATATTTTTATTACTGTGAAGTATTACCTTTCATCTTGCAAATAGTGCTAGTTTCTTCTTTTGAAGGAAGGAGATTTACCACACGATTGGCGAACAGTGGATAAATTACAACTTGAAGATGCTCATAAAGCTGGTGTTTTTGCAAGTACTAGTCAAGATTCAATAGCTTTAGTGCCATATTGTGCACTTCGATCTGATGATCGCTTCACTTTATCTGATACGTCTGAAGGCAACAATAATTATGAAACAAAAACAAGTAAACATAAGTTAATATAAAGTTGCATTATTTCTCTGATATTTATATCGTAAAAGAATGACTTCAAGAAATAAATCATCTAGATGGTTTAAAATTTAATTTTTTTTTTGTTTAGTGATGTCATCAAATTTTGGAAGTTTGGATAGTGGTATTGAAGTCCGACCGTGTTTACCCGTAAAAAGTATCGAAAACTTACTTGGCCGTATGAAAGGAATTCAAGGTTTCCGGAATAGTTGCTATCTCGATACGACGCTTTATGCTATGTTTTCGCAGTGTTCAGCATTTGATAGGTAATTTGGAGCATAAATCATGATTAATATTGGAGAAATGTGTGCACAGCATAATTTGAGATATTCGTCTATGGTATTTACAATTGTGACGTTGATCCATATAAATTCAAGAGGCAAGAACTACTGTATCATTTATAACAGTCCTTGATGTAGAAGTCTCCTTAACTGCAAAAGATTCTGAAGTGAAATTTTTGCCTTTTGAACATACATTTGTCTCTTTCCCTAATTTTTTTTAAAAATTTTTTTGGAAGGAAATTGATTTTTTCGATAGATTTATAAATTTATTTAGCATATTGGAAAGCAGGTGTGAAACTAAGGAAGATTCAATTCATACAGAAGTCACTGATATTTTGAAAACTGAAATTGTTTATCCACTGAGAAGGTTTGTTTTTGAATTCTTTGTTTTCGACCATTTCTTATTTTGAATTTTTAATATTTTTAATTTAAAATTTTAGTGGAGAATGTCATATGTTGGGTTTAATTCAGGTTTCATTTTGTTCGGGCTGATCACGTATTAAAATTACGGCGACTATTGGAGATGCTGTTACCTAAAATGAGAGGTTTGACGACTGACGAAAAAGACCCTGAAGAATTACTGAATGCTCTGTTCAATACAGTATTGCAGGTTAAACCGTTTCTTGTAATGAGGTAACACTTTTTACATTTTCGTAATAATATAATAAAAAAAATTAGTGGTTATTAAGTTCAGTTAGATTTTTTAAGATGGCGCTCTTGTGACATAAACAGTTCTACAGAAACGTCCACAGCACCTTCTTGTTCTGACTTCCAGTGGTTTCCATTTTACAATTTTGCCCTTTAAAAGACATAAATTTGAAATAATTGTTCTTTACTGAAATGAACTATTTAGAAACACAACAGATGGCAAAACAAATCCAGCATACATATGTCCTTTAATAACAGAAGATCTGTGGAGCGAAAAACAACGTCGACTTATTAGTTTACAAGCACTTCTCGAAAGATCACTTTTTGCATCTAATATTCAGTTTGCATGTGTAAGTTTGTTTTTAGTAAGTAATAGGAGTAACTTGTTTTCAACATATATATTTTCTCTAGTTTACAGTGCGACTGTTTAATTTGCTCGATAATAATTTATTTCCGACTGGTTAAACATCTCGGTGATTTTGGTGACAATCTGACAATCATTCAGTTTCTGTCGGTTTTATTTGGAAATTTACTGCAACTCGAAGCTTAACTTTTGTTTCAGGAACCAAAAGTTTTGATTCTTCAGTTGCCACGATATGGGCAGCAAAAAGTTTTTGATAAAATATTTCCACCTCAGGAAGTGGATATTACTCATCTTATTTATGAAGGTAAGCTATTTTGGTATTTTAAATGAATTTTTTTGAATTGGTTTACCGAATTTTGTTCTCTTGAATTCTTATTTTCTAAGTTTGCTCTCTATCAAAGTTTTTCTACTGTACATTCAACAGTGAGAGTATATTCAGTTTTATAGATTTGCTTGAAGTTACATTAACATCAAAATTTGGTTTATTTTTAATCAAAAAGCATTATTCTGAACTTTTGTCAAAAAAAAGCATTATGATGGTATTTTTGGTAATGCTTTTTAGGTAAAAATGACTTTTTTAGGTAAACGGCCCTGTATAAATTGCGGTAAACGTGCCGATCTGATGTGTCCTGAATGCTTCCTGACAAGAGAGGTTTTCATAGGAGAAGTGAGCTTAGTTTTGAAAATTTGAAATTTTTTGTATATGTCTATTTTTGTACTTTACAGCAAAGATTTGTCAAGATTCTGATATCTCCACTGAAATAGAGACTCTTAATTTTATATTCCTTTACATTTTATAATTTTCGAATTTTTGTTTTGTTTGAAAATGGTTTCCGTTTCTGGTGAATTGATTAAGGACACATTATTGATTTAAAAAAATAGAAAAAGTCTTTAAATTACATGTTTTTAGGTGACCTATTGTGGTCTATGTTATGAACAAACTCATAACGGCTTGGATCATCAACCATTGCAGCTATCCGCCAGCAATAATTCGTTTTCGACATCATCAACCTTATCTCTATCTCGGCGAACGCAAGTACCACAAAAGAAGCTCCAACTTGCGTCTGTTCTTTGCATCGAAACTTCGCATTATGTAGCGTTCGTGCATACTCTTCACAGTAATAAATGGGTATTTTTCGACTCAATGGCTGATCGAGTAGGTCTTTCTGATGGATATAACGTTCCACAGGTTCGTTTGTTCTTTTCTTTCACATATGTAATCCAAGTTCGAATCATTAATAGTTCAATTCATCTATAGATTGGAATATAGTATTTGGATATTTAGTACGGTTATATTCAGTGATCGATCGCACTAATCCCGATTAAGAAGGATTCATCAAAAATGTTCCCACCTATTATGCAGAATTAAAAAACTGAAGCTTTTATCATTAATGTTTTGTAGGTCTTAAATATATGTTTGAAATTTGGCGAAAGCAGTTACACTTGTTAAAAATCTGAACACATCAAATGTTGTTTTTCAAATTTCATGAATTTCAAACATATTTTTTAGGTGAAATTATGTGAAAAAATGTCAAATTGGTTGAGTGATGCCGGTTGGCGTAGAGTTCGTGATTGTATCAATCAGGAAGGACATTTGCCGAACGACGTTGAAAGTGATTCAGATTTGATGCGCTTATTGAGTGATTGCTATATTTGCTTCTATACGGATGAAGAGAACAAAAATGAAGGTCTCAGTTTGTCACGTTTTTTCTCCTGAACCTTTCATTGCTTTTTTTGAATGAGAAATTTATGTTTAAATGGGAAGAAAGAATAGTTTTGCTCAAAAAAATCAGGGCTTATAATTTACAAGGTTTATATTCACCTTTTGCTTTAGAAAATTAAGTTCTTTAAGGAGACTTTCAAATCTAGATCTAGGACATCATAAATTTTTAAAGAGAGCTCAAATTCGAAAAAGTTTACATTTCCTTTCAACCTCAAAACTTCGAAAGAATCTAAAACTTCTTCTTGTTGGAAATTTTTATTTTCCCGTGATTTATTAGCTTCTTGAAATTTTTATCACCACTGACATCCAGAATTGCTAGAAAAGGATTATTGTAAATAATTGCTAATTTTTTTGCACTGTAATTATTTACCAAAGGACTATATTGCGTGTAAATAGATAACATATCATTTTGTACGCATTAAGATTGCTCTTGTAAAAAAAGTAATGACGTTTGTCAAATCCGCTTTTGTCTTGTAAAATGATATATCTCAATTATTAATTTAATTATGAATATTTGTTTTGAAGCACACCGTTTCTGGGCGAGTTCTTTGATTCCAGTTATCAAGTTTGATTTGATCTCCTTGATGTTTTCTTCTATATCTGTGTTGCATTACTAACGCGCCTTTACGCAGATTGCTGTATGGGACACCTGATTTAGCTGGTTCACATTACTTGGAAGCACTTGATTGACTAGGTTCACATTGGAAGCACTTGATTGACTCGGTTCACATTCACATATTTTGTACCTGCGTTTTATGGGTTGGAAAGACTTATAACCCATTGAACTTTCAATGTTCAAGCAAATTATAGTTTTGGAATCAAGTAAGCAAATGCTGTTGAAGTGTTTCATGGATGGATTAGTTCAGTTTTGAAAAGAAGCCGAAGGAATGGGGAAGTGATGACGAGAATGAAAGTTGCAGGAGTCAATGATGTAACGTGAGAAAGATCCCACATACCTTTGTGCTTACATGGAAACATTCAGATATTAAAACAAGATCGATGGATGAAATATCAATAACAAAGGACCAATGATTTTTGAAATAAACTGATTGTGCTGCACAAATCATTATAGCTTTGAAAATGTTTGCTTCCCTTTTTTTTCTTCTCTTTTGCCTTTTTCTGCATGAATTCATAAAAAGAGAACACTCCCCAAAATATGCAAAATAAACATTCGAAATTTTTTAATTATAAATATCCCATACTATTAAAGTTCTCTAGAAATTTTGGTATACCTTATTTGAATCAGCAATATCAACACAATGAAAAAAATTTTTTGCTGAATTTGAGTGTTATGCGATTGTAAAAATTTCGTCCAACAATATTTTCAGAAAAAGCTATAACATCACGTGATTGATTAGGCGCAATTATTGTCCTCATCTCAAACTCCAAGTATGGCTTTGCAGCGCTTTTTCTGATCAATAATCCGAAAAAAAAAACGCATTCTGAACATAATATTCATATACAACACGGCTGAAATGAACCATTCTTAAAAATTTTCTTAACAACTAAAAGGTTTCTTAGGGAATAAGCAAGGGTCTGTAATACACGAAAAATCGAAATTGAATAAAAACCAGAAAATATATCAATCATTTTCTAAAAGGCTATGCATAACATTTTTTGAGAATAGGCATCTGAACTTGTTCATTAAATTGATGAGACAAAACCCCTATACGATTGTTTAAGTACTGGATCGGCAAATTTTATTCAACTTCGAATGATGTAAGTGAACAGAATTATGTTAATTAAAAGAATTGTAGATTTTTCTGTAACAGTAATTCACACAGTTGAAGTGTTAACAAAAACTGAACATTTCAAACTACTTAAACGATATATTTGCACAGTAACGAAAGGAATGCAATTGCAAGTCAGGTATTTTCACAATCCATCTTATTAGTAGCTCAGGAAAGGAAATGAGCCAAAACCTAGGAAAGAGAGATACAAGTGATTGAGGAGAATAACGACTTATAAATTATATGTAAACTGATTTATGGTAGGGAGCGAACGATATGGTTAGATAATGTTGCTTCTCGCATCATTGCTTGAGCCTTGTCTTCAGTTTCCTTATAAAAATTTCGTTTCTTCTAAAAAATAATAGTTACTTAAATTAAAAGACAACACTACTAATTTACATTAGTTGACACATTTCTTTCATTTTGTACGAAGCCATAAAAAGAGTATACAGCAATTTTCAGATACGAACAGTCGAATTAAAAATATCAAATTCTTTTGTTGTCCCCAGAGACTAATGTTTCTTCGTGCAAAGAATATAAGCAAATTACTTGCCTGAATTTCACTCTCTAGTTTGCATCTCAAACGAATCAAATTCTCCTCAATGTCAAACATAACTGGTTGTAAATGGCCAGTAATGTCATCCGAGGGAATGCCACTTGGACGCCATCCTAAAACTAAGGAGGCTATATCATTGGTGGATATCAAATGGTGATATGAAGGAAACGAAAAATAACTAAGATACATTTAAAAATCTTCAATTAAAATAAGCTAATTAAAATCAAGCAACATTAAGCTGGACTAAAAATTAAAAAAAAAAGCAACACCAAGTTCGATAGTTTACTTGCTTCCTTATTAGCTTCACTTCCGGATAACCTCTTAATAAGCATGCACATAAAACAATGGCTTGATAGCATATATTGCAAATCACAAGTCTTAAAAAACATTCATTGCATAGCCACAGTATCCTATGCTTATTGATAATAGGTATGGAAACCACACCTGTTACTCCTTTCGACGATTCTTTAATAAGATTTTTTAGCTTGACCATCCCTTCGAGGACCTGCGTAACGCATGTAATTTAGGCATAAAATTACATTGAAATCCGCGGTAACATAATTCAAAAGCGCAATATAAATAAATTAAGAAATAGAGCAATACGACTTCTGAAGTAAAATTATGAATCTAGAAGCCTAAGTTACAGTGCCAACAGTCCTTATTCTGAATATGCCAAGGTACTACTAATATTTTGAAAAGTAATTTTATCGTATTAAGCTTACCTCGTCGTTATGGATTACCTGGCTAACACCATTTAATACCGATTCCTGTAGTTCATCTTTCGCAGTTTTCAGGATTTCTTCCATTTTGTCAGGAGCAATCTGCGATCGCCCAAGATAATACATATATTAAGAATGAAATGAGGTATTTTTGACACGGTAAATTAAAGAAGATAATAAATACAACCGATAAGAGTGAATCAATCCAGAAATATATCGCATGCAAATAATCAACGTTGATAACTATCCCACAATATCCTACTCATCACTGTGGACAACAAGAGAGGGAAATTTCTTGCAAGCTACACTGCAAGGATGAAGCCCATTATATTTCATCTTTCTCATTATAATTATGAAATTTATATTACAAGTGTCACACCATTGAAAATTTACGACTTGAAGACAAGTACCAAAGATTATTCTCACCATTGGCCAGAATATTTTTTTTTTAAAAAAAAACACCTTTTTCTTTGTCGTCCTATGAACAATCTTCATACATTTCTCTGCCGCTATCGCTTCTGCCACAAGCTTTTTTAAAACCTCGTTTACTGCAGCATACAACGATTCAGTAGACATGACAACAAAAAATTCTGAAGAAAAAAAAATCACATTGTTGAAGATTTTACAAATATGTCATTTACCGCTTATTCGACAACAAATGATATTAGCAAAGAATATTATGAAATCCTTATTGTGATAGCCGTTATGAATTGTGAGGAACATTGTGGCATCACTGTGTGACGTTATACAAAATTACAGTCTCTTGTTACACGTAAAATCGTGATGCAACACGTCAATTCGTGACGAACACTTACTTATACACGGCGCAAGAGTTACGCAAGAGAGTGAATGACCAGTTGACCAATCAGGCACAGCTGAGAGTTGTCAAGATTTGCGCGCCTCCCAACGTGTTGCAGCGGAAAAGTGCCAAATTATGGTACTAAAGGACGTGGGGTGAGGTAAACGGAGAAAAAGGGAAGGAGTTTAGAGAAGTGAGGACATACGTCGGGAATATAGCACTGAGTGTCGGTTAGAGCTCTCTCCGAAGGGGTCAAAGGGTATGCGAACCTTAACAGTGTGGATGAAAAAGTGCAGGCAGTGTTACGGATGCAGAAGAAAAAAGTGCCCCGTCATGAAATGAAAAGAGGGAAGGGAATGGCAAGAATGATAGGAATATTGTAATAAAGTGGAGAAATTTTTGAATGCTATTTTGGAAAGGAATCTTTGTTTAGTATAGAATAGTAAGTAAAAGTACCAGAAGTCCCGATAGCTACCAGGTTTATCATCAGAATCACCAATATCAACGCAAGGGATCAATTTAAAAGTTCAACAAATGACAATGCTAAGTTATACTCTAAAATCTAATTTTTATACGAACAATAAATTTTGTTATGTGAGGATTATATTTTTTATTGATTAAATACAAGATATCAATTTAATATAGCTTCCTGATTTGAGATTTCAACGAATTACTTTAATATTCTTTTGTAATTAAAAAATTTCTTACTTCATTAAGTCACATTTCAAGGTTAATCAAATACTTTTATAGTGTGTAACATTTAATTATTATCAGTGAGGAAAAATATTAAAAGGACAGCTTAATAATGGTGTCAATAAGTCAATCAGTATTTGTATTTATTTTGAGAAAATTGTATATATAGCTCCCTAACTTGAGATTTCAAAATTTCAAAATTTGTATAATTTTTTATCGTCGTCATGTTTGTTCACATAATATTTATTTGCAGTGCACTTACTGATTATATATCATTACAGTTATTCTGGGAAGTATTGGAAAGAGTGAAAAGGGCGTTGTGATAAATGGATGATTTGATTATTAATCATTGGTTCCATGGAGAAAAGTGTGGGAATGATGGAACAATAACGGTTACGATGTGAAACATACATATTGGATCAGATAAAAGAGATGATTAAATACTTTTCATATTTTGCAGAGGCGATAAATTAATGAATATATGTGAGAGAAAGCATGAAGTAAGCTTAGTATGCATGAAAGTGTAAGCATGGCTAGAGTTATTTCTGTTTCTCTCTGTGTATGATTCTCGGCTGATAAAGTTGACTCTTGTCACGATTAGCTAAAGAAATACACCAAAAGAAGGAAGAAAGCTTGCATTGTCTGCCTTTCTTCAGCTTCTTCTCACTATTTTATTATTATGTGTACAACATCATAATATCCTATTTCTACTATAATTATTGTTAGTGTTAATAGTAGTAGTAGCATCAGTATTATTTTCACTATTGGCATTACTGTTACTGTTACTATTATCATTATTATTATTTTTATTATCATCTCTTTATATCACACTCAAATGGCCAATAAACGATCAGCACAACAAATCATTGCTCAAGAATTTGATAAGGTTTGTGGTTTTTTTTATATCCTAATTTTCCATTAATTGTCTTAACTAGAATTTTTGATGAAAATTAGGCAATTTTTTTGAGAAGTTTCCATTATATTTTAGAGCTAGGAGATATCTCTTCACAGTTTCTAAAATGGAAATATTTCTTCCATTTTTTAATTTTTTTTAAAGTGAAGCCTAAAATGCCGTTAACATTACGAAAAAAAATTTTTTTCGAAGATTTTGCTTCAATTAAAAATTTTTTCTTCAAATTATTGATAGGAATTGAAGAAGGACAGGTCACTTATTATTTGTTTACTTATTGTAGCTTGACACTGATGGTGATGGGATGATACCACTGAACGAGATTCATCATTTGTTAAACGATAACTTTAACAGAAAACAAGTGAGTTTATTGTTATATGTTTTTCAATTATACTAAAATGGATCACCCTTCTTTCTAAGAAAAGATATGAAAACGTACGTATAAAATCATTGCTCTTCTTTCTTTAGATTGAATTAACTGGGAGACAAATTCATCTACTTCTAAAGGAAGCTGACAGAAACCGCGATAATGTCCTTGATTTCAATGAATTCTCACAACTGGTATGCACTTATATCACGCTTTAGAAAAACTTTTAATTCTAAGTTCATGGTTTCACTTTTTCATCCTTTAGGCTTATTCTAAAATCAAGATCAAATTTTGTCATATTTATAATCTCACCACTTTTGAATAATGTAATCTATATTAGCTGCAAAAACAGGTAACATCAGCAGATACACAGGAGAAAAAATTGAAAGTATTGATGTATTCGGTGGCTGATACAATAATCGCCAAGACCGATCGACCGGCGGTGCATACATATATTGATGAATATAATTGTCTACCTCCACCAATATTTGTTTTAAGTATCTCCTTATTACAGGTAGTTTTATTTTATCATTAGAAAGACAACTGACAATGAAAACTAAGGACAGAATAATTTGAATTGGATTCTTCACTGTTACAACTAGCAGGAAAATGAAATTGTTAAAGTTTTCAAGCTAGCAGTTGTAAATTTTGCTCCTTTAATGATTCAGGTCAAGGAATGCATTGAAATGCGATCTGTAAAGTTCTGGAAGGTATTACATGTAATATACAAAAATAGCTAGCTATATTGTTATTTTGTAAAAGATGTCGAACAAAAGGCTACATTTCTATGTTATATAAAAATTATAGGTAGCTACTTTTGTATATTATATGTATGGACGATCAGATAATCCGTTTACTTATTGTGCTGGTTGTTGGATTGATGGAACGATTGGGCCATTCTTATTTGCACCATCTCTCCGTTATCAGGCTTGGCGATTCTTCAGCTACCAATTTGTGCATCAGGGGTTCATTTTAATAATGCAAATCTAACGATGAAAATAGCAATTCCGGAAACGGATTTAAACTTATTCAGTTATCGAATTCTGACATCCAAACAAATTTAAACCTTATTTCAGAATTCTCCATCTAGTACCCAATGTTATTTTTCAAATAGTGATTGGCATACCATTGGAACTAGTCCATAAAATGTGGCGTATAGCAACTATCTATCTAATGGCCGTTTGCCTAGGTGAAACTCTTCATTTAATGTAATGTGTTCTCTGCGGTTGATTTCACTGCATATACCAAAACAGCAATACATATGCACCGTTGTGTTTAATCCGATCATTGATTAACCTCTTCTATTTTAAAAATTTGGCATCAGTAATAATTTGATTTTACAATCAACGAATGAATCTTTCCACAGCTTTTTTAAAAATATATTCTACAGTGGATTTAATTGCCTGTGATCGATTTTGAAACTGGAAACGTTTTTACTAGAATAATTGCAATAATATAGGGGCATTGCTGCAGTATGCACTTGATCCATCTGTATATTTGATTGGTTGTTCTGCTGGTGTTTATGCCTTAATGGGTGCTCATCTTTCAAATCTTATAGTTGTAAGTTCTTTTTTTCTTTGTTTTTTTTTTTTCGATTTCTGCTTGAGGAAATGATTACAAAAGTTTTTTTTTCCTTTTTTAATGGAATGGCGAGAGTTGCAAACATAGAGCTGGCAATTACTAGCTTTTATGCATCTGAGTTAATTTGATTATAGAATTGGGCTGAAATGCCGTTTCGGTTGGTTAGACTATTTATCATTTCTGCATACATTTTTACCGATGCAGCATCGACTGTTTATCGTCGTTTTCAAGTGGACGAGTGTGATCGTGTATCGTATACTGCTCATATTGCAGGCATTGTTACTGGTTTACTTATGGGTGTTGTTATTTTACATAATCTTAAAGTAAGTGACACAATTTTGTAAGAACAATAAATGTTTGCAAACAAGACTGACTTATTTCATATTATAGTTGCTATATTTTGATTTAATGTCCACACAGTAGTATATTTCCTCTATGTTTTTAAAATTTATGCTTTTGATTTGACGTGGCTTCGACTTATCAAAGTAGGTTTGTTATAGAACGATAGAAGACACACATTTAGAAAGCAAATAATCTACTCTGTTATGGAGTAATAGCTTCTAAATAGAAACAAAAAATTTACCCCATTCCCTCTTTTTCCGCTCTCAAAATTTTATTCTAATTAAGCTCAATACAACTCATTATCGCTAATTTTTCCTTTTCATTTAGGTCCTTTATTGGGAGCGAATACTTATGATCGTGTCACTTGTATTGTTTGGTATTATCTTTTTGTTCTTAACGGCAATGGTTGTTTTTGTAAATCCGTTCTCGAAATCAGTTTGGGACACAGTACATTGCAAAAATGAACCACATTTACTGGACACTAATGACTTTTATACAGATTTTAGAGATTACTGATGAAAGAGAACGCAATTTTAATGATATGTAGTAAAAAATCGTTATGCCACCACAGTATTATGAAAGGCAGATACTAGCTTTTTAATAATTACTCTAGTAAGACCGATCAGGATGTTTGTATAAAACTTTTGAGAGATGGCCAGTGAAGAATCTATTTCAAAAATTCATTCCGATGAATGTGCTATCCACAATGATGATTGATCATTCGAAGAAACCGAAAAACTGGTAAGATAAAGTGTATGAGCGATTTGTCTTCTTGGTAAAACAAAAATAGCTTTGCAAACAAAGTTTCACCTACTTAAACGAATGAAAGAAACTCGGAAGAATGTTAGCATATAAACAATAGCGAAGCATTCTTGCATATATTAAGAGTCAGACAGCGTCATTAAAACATTTCAATAGTTAGAATGTTTTAACGCCATAATCTTCTAATTTTATTTTTTAGAAACTTTAATCTATCAATAAAGCTGTTTTTCGCTTTTTGAAATAATAATGAAAGAAGAGATGAAGAAAAAGGATTGGGTATGAAAACTGTTTCATATTCAATCCTTTTCCTTCGTCTCTTCTTTCAACGGCTCTCCTACACAAACATATACATTTTTATTATCAATGAAGAGGATGGAATTTTGGAGGAAAATTAAAGTAGAGAATTAAAGAAATATGATAAACCTATCGAGAATTGTAAATTCCAAGTCAACCGGAGAAGTCTTTTCTAGCAACAAGCATATGAAGCACAGGATATTTCTTGATATATTTCACAGCCTTTTCGTGAGTTACCATGGTGAAGTCGTTGCCATTTACCTAAAACAGATGGCAAATTCACACAATTGAAATAACCAATATTTGAGAGAAGACATCAGTTGTAAGTGGATAATATTTAACAAATGATACAATTTTCTTAAGAATTCGGATTATGATAGAAAAATGATGAGACGAAGGACCAACATTTACAGTGCAAAAATTGCTATAACAAAATATTTCAATTAATTCTAATGTCGAGAGTCCCTACTGTGTGCTAGTACTTACTCGAAGTATTTTATCGTGTTGCCGAAGTCCAGCACGTTCTGCTGGTGAATCAGGTTCAATTTGCGTGATATAAATTCCCTGCAAAGAAACAATTTCCGTAATAAATTTACGATCGGATGAATCTTTTGCATACTGTTAAAGAATGTGGAAATCCTTGGAAACCTACGCTATCTGGATATGGATAATGTGCCCGGCTTGGATCCTGATCGATGCCACCACCAATTTTGAAACCTACACGAAGAACCTAAAATGAGAATCATAATTAGTTTTCGGTTTTAAGAATTAAAGATGTTGCTTACTTTTGATGTAATTCAATATAAATCTCGATCAATCATTTGATCCACAAAAAAAAAAAAAGAAATGCACTGAATTATATAAATTATCTCAACTCATTAGGCTGACGAAGAAAAACTAGCAAAGTTATTGGGACAAGACCACCTACATAATTAAACAAAGAGCGAAGAATGAAAAATATTATGAATAACCTGCTGTCCATTTTCATCCACAAGTTGCTCTTTATGAAGCTCTACGGCGATGCTTAAGCATTCAATCGGTAAGCCAGCCACATGTCCATATGCGCTCATTTTATTATTTACTGTATAACAAACATTATCATCTTAACACCACATGTACATCAGATTCCACTTACACTCAAAATATTGGTAGAATCTGAAGTTAAGCTTAACCTTGACTAGACACTTAACTTTCTTAACTATTAATCCTCCTGAATCGTACTCACTTTATATTAAAATTGCTATTTTTAAAAGTGAAAGTCACAATTAATTCAACGAAATTCTTGAATTTTTCTCGTTGAACCAATATTTTTGTAAATGAATAGCCTAAAATACCGGTCATTTATTGGTCTTTGTACTATGATGCTTTATTCCAAATCACTCTAAAAATATATCGTTCATTTCTATTAGTTGTAATAATGATGACACGAAATTATCAGTTTAGGCTGTAATAAATTAATCAATATGTGGACAATCACGGTTATAATCATTCACCTCCCGTACTGACAGCATTATCAGTATAATTTGAAGGTCATGGGATGATTCATACATTGCCAGTCTTCCTCTTTACCTTAGAAATACTAAGTTTTTATTATGAAATTTTTTATGAAATTTACAGCTAAGTTTTTATTAAAAAATTATGAAATTAGTAAATGCCATGAGAGCATTCCATTCTCCACTCAATTTTATCATTTAAATTATCTATAAAATAAAATAAACTTACTATTCTCAATCACTTTCATCACTCGTCTTCCTTATATTTTACATCATTTCAATTTCCATTTCACTCTACCTTATGCACCCTTCTCTAACTTCTCTTCCTAATCCACATTGCTCACCCATCACTCTCAATCACTAGTCAACACCATTTTATAAACTAATCCAGTATTTTTTTAAAAACTTTAGCAGTATTTGGCGCAATAACATGGTTGTCTTGCTGTCTCTCATAATGATGTTATGTTTTGTTTTCCATTACTTCCATCTCTCATGAAAGTGCAATGTCTCGCCTCGTTCTGCTAGTAATACACGAGGTTAAAGGTTAACAGAAAGTTTATGTAAATTGACCAGAAACTTTTGTTAAATTATGTGAAGTTTGATTGAAAACTTAGAAGCAAATACAATTTTTGCTGCACGAAAATATCTGAGAGTACAACAATCCGTTGAAATTAAAATTAGCAAATGCATAATAATTTATTTGTTTTAGTATCGTTTTATTTGTTAACTAAATGGAATTGCTTTGACAATAAGCTTCTCGCCGTTATATTCATAACTGATAAACTTTGATGGGAATTTTCGCAACAGTTTACAAGTGAGTAAATCATTATGAAATATTGCCGTCTTTTAATACCTGTTCCTGCATATTTCTCAATCATCTAAAATGGAAAAAAAAATCGAATTATCAAATGGGTGATAATGTAACAGGCAAGTCGAGAATCACTCAATTATAACAACCACTTCAAATATTTATCTTATTATCAAGTAACTATTGGGATCTTTTGAATTCATTGATACACTTGTGGTGGAATTTTTATGTAATTAGTGATTGTTGCTATTATAGAAGCCAAAATTTTGGAAGAACTAATTTTCGGCATAGTTTCCAGAGCTTTGGATAGGATTGATGTGATATCATTTAGTTTTATAACATCCTCAAATGTGCAAATACCGTAAAAATGGTTGAAATAATTTGTAATAAGGAATGCAAAATTAGCTTTTTTTTTAAAATTTGGTTTCAGTAATTTATTAGGTGTGAAAGTTTACTGCTAAGATATTGAATATTAATGAATTCAGAATTGAAAAATCTTTGAATTTTATCTGAAAATGCATTGCTAATTCAAAATTGATAAAACATTGAACTTACCGAGTTGTCCTTATGGTCATAATTGTAAAATTATAATAGCACAACAATTTCGGTTCACATAATTATTCCAACTGACATCTTCAAAACAAAAAAAAAAATTCACACAAAATTTATATATTTTATTACTGCTCAACGATTGGTGGTCTAATGAAGTTGCAAATTATGAAAGTTAGTTTTGCACGTTCGTACTTAACTTACTGCTGCCATTCAATAAATTTTTTTTTGTATACGGTAATTATTTGTTTTTTATTTTAATCTAAAATAACAACCATAGCTGTTACTATGGTTGTTATATTAGATTAAAACAAAAAAAAGTAATTAAAGCATAAAGAGCGTTAAAATAAGTATTTGTTTATGAATTTAATTTTAGTAAATTTTTTTACTTTTTTATCTATATATTTATATTTCCATATCATAATGTAATATAAACATAGTAAATTATTTTAATGCTCTTTATGCTTTAATTATTAATTCAATTTATGATTGAATTAATATTAAAGAATGTACGATAACATTACTTTCCGTAGGAAATAATGAAGTATTTTTTGATATCATTTAAATTTTACAGATAACAGTGTTAAAAGTTAACCTTCCATCTTTGTTGCCTGTGATCTTTTCAAAAAAAAAAGAAAAATTTTTTTTTATCAGAAGACAATATTTCACAAACTGATAAAAATGTTATGGATATCTTCATTGCCTTTATCATTATTGTATGAACGATCAAAATTAACGACCGTTCACTTTCATTCCTTCCTTTCTTTTTTGCAAAAAAATGTGTTCCGCAATATTTTATTTTAATGGTTAAATGCCATCGAATTGGTCAGATATTACAATTTTTTAGTCTTAATTAACTAATTTAGAATAAAACAAACTATTGTCAATTTGATTGCGATTGATATTTTCAAATAAATAAGCTGTGAGAGTAAATTAAATTTGAAATGAACAGGACTTGAATAAGTTATTCTTAAGCATACCATAGTATTTCAATCAAAGTGAAACAAACACAATGATTCTTTAATTATTCGAATCAAAATTAAATTTGTTTTAGAAAAAAGAAACGAAGAAAAGATGAGGAAAGAAAATTGAGGAGTGCATTAATTTTTATTCCTTTTGAATTTTTACATTTTTGGAAAAATTCAAGTTCATTCAAAAATTTGCATATTTTTTTTTCAAGGAAGGATCAAAATTTTACTTTAAAACTAATCGGATCAATTAAATGATGCTGAAAAAACGGAATGGACGAATGTCCCAATTAAAATTACTATTGTGGAAGAATTTGCTCCAGCAAATTCGCTCTCCCATATTTACTGCATTAGAATTTGTTGTTCCACTATTATTAATTGGCATCACATTTGGCTTAATGATTGCGGTTAGTTTTACTGCTTTTTTCCATAAGTTTATACAAAAAAAAGACAAATTGAAATATAAGTCATAAATTAAATTTTCATCAGTTTTTAAAAATTTTATTTTTATAAATTATTTACAATTTTAAATATCGATTCTTAAATAGCTGTATTATTTGTGCATTACGAATGAAGTTACAAGGTAGAAATTAATGTAATGATTCATTCGTTATTTTTACTGAATCATGAAATATTTTCAGCTACGACACAAATATGAACTTTCACATCAATCAACAACATATAAGCCATGGGTAATTCATGGATCAATCATTGATTTGATTATGCCGCCAGATTTCTCACAAATATTTATCGTAAGTTTAATTTCAAAAATTGCAAAATACAATTTGAATTTTATTCTGAAATAATCAAAAAGTAGCACTTGTATGTTTAATGTGATTAAAATTTCACGAATTATCGAAAAAAGCAAAAAAAAACTCACCTATTTTCAATTCAAAATTTTCAAAAGATTAAATTTTTTTTAAGGATACCATTGTTGACACACAGTATATAGTAAGTGGTAAAACACTTCATGATGATTGTATATTTTTGAATGTAACGAGATGGTCCAACAATAGCAATATTGTAGCAAATATTGACTTGGAAATTGTTTACACTCCAAGTAATCCTGCTATTGATGAAATTATGCAAATTATTCAGGTTTGAATGATTCTTTTCCAAGATTATATTAGCAAATAATTCGTTCGATTAACGTAAGAAAATATTTTGGTTTAACAAATCATTGTGCAGATTCTTTTTGCTATCAACAATGGTTGATTATATTTGATGATGTGATTTTGGTAATAAGATCACTTTACTTTTTTTAAAAAACTTTTTTTAATTGCTAAATTGAATTATTCGTGCAGGAACGATATACCACTTCGGATATATTCGAAAAAGTGGAAAATGATATATTATTTGTGCGATTAATAGAACTCGACTTCTTACAAAAATTTGATTCAAATATGATGCTTAAGAAGCTTAAAATATCATCGACAACAAAACTTACATGTAACTTTCAAGTATAAAAGTAAAATTCCAACTAAAAAGTCAATTTTGGACATTTCATTATGATAGGGAATTTAAAAATAATTTGTGATAAAATGTACTGCTGAAGGTTTAAAATAAATCCAAAAGGCATTATTTTTTATTGGCTAATTAAAATTAGACAGTTTACTCTATCAATAAGTGTCCTAATCAATAGATCAAACCGAACAATTTAACAGTTAACCCTTAAAATAATCGGTCTATATAAGCATATTAGGTTTGAATAGTAACAAAGAATATGAGCTATAAAACTGAAATTAATAATTATTTTTTGGTTCATTTAGTTCATTTATTTTGGTTCATTTATTTAATTAATTATTTTTCCTCTACTCTCTTTTTTCCAAGTTTTGAATTGATCGTGCTTCAATAAATGATTTAATTGTAAACTTTTGCTTAAATTTATAGCCAAAAAAAATGAAGATGAATTGGTGAAGTACATTATGAATTCAATTTCAGAACGACGATGCAACAATCCTATCATCGGTATAATTATTTATATTATTTTCTCTCTAACACAATATTCATCTCTATTTTCATTTTTTTATATTAAAAATTTTTTCACTCTTTCATTTACACATAAAATTCTTCCATATATTCTTCCATATTCTTCCATATGTGTTGGATTTTCTTTCATATCCAACACATTCTTTCTACTATTTGTAAATAAAACTTTTTTTTCGTTCAAAGGTTGCCAATGTTTATTTCTTAATTTTTACATTTCAAGTTGGTATCTTAGAATGATTCCATTATAAATTCTACCGATCGTTAGAAACTCTACCAACCAAAAGTTCATTTAGAATCCTTATTTACCCAAAAATATTTTATCTTAAATCAACATTTGAATGTTGGACATTATACTGCAGGTGGAATTGTTTTCGATGAACGATTCGCCAACTCTGTCAATACAACCGATGCTATTAGTTATTCAATTCGGTTAACGAATACTAAACGTCGCTATCAACCAATATTAAGTACTTTATTACCATGGAATACACAAATTAAATTTGCTGTACCAATTCGTATTGGACCTTTGCATAAATTAAATCCAAGTGGTGGAAATCCTGGTAATTAATCTTTATCAATATAAATCATTGTTAAATAATTATTGATAAATAATTAAAAAGATGAATTGTGGTAAAAATTATTATAAGTAATTGTTTTTTGCAAATAATTGGTACAATGATTCTCATATAAAATTGGATTACACTTTTATTACTCTGAACAGTAAGTATACTTTATAAGAATTATTATATGAAAAAATTGCTTGCGCATAAAAATTATCATAAATATTATCATAAACATTATTAATCATTTAAAATACTCGTTAAAATAATAGAGTGAATTTTTGTAGGTTACTGGCAAGAAGGCTTTTTAACATTACAAAAAGCAATTGATGTCGCCGTACAGCAATATTTATCAAATACAACAACCACTGATTCTGTGTTAATGGTACCGCATTAAATTTTTAATTATGTCATTAGTTTGACGATTAAACTTACATTATTAATTTACATTAATTTACATTATTAATTTATTTTCATATTGCGATGAAAATTTGTGATGTAACAGAAGCATAGCTTCATGGAAAAAGGGAAATACAAATGTCATCTCATCTCGAATTTTTAAATGTTTTAATGATTTTCAAATTTCTGTCAAGTGACATTGACAATAGTATATTTCATTTACAGTAACTGTTGAGAATACAACAAAACCCATTACTGATTTGTTGCCTAATTATCCACTCTGTTTAGCTTCAACGTTTTCCATATCCATCCTACAAGAATATTATCATCGAACTTGGCGTATATTTTTTATCTACCGTTGTTGTATTTTCCTTTTTGATCAATGTTGTTTACATCACACGAACGATTGTAACCGAAAAAGAGACTCAAATGAAGGTTTATTTTTATTTAAAATTAAATTAACTCTAATGATATGCAAAAAATTTCACATCCATATTATACTATCATGTTAAACAAAACATGAATATGTTGCTAAAAGTGTTAAATAATGAAGGAGCTATCGAAATGAAACGAATGTGTGATTAAAATCAAAATGAAACTTAAAATTGAAAAAATATCTTGTGATTAAAATTGTTCTGTCACATCGATAATTAAACTAATTTTAAGAAGTTTGATCGAAGAAAGCTACACAAAGCTATCATTCATGATCGTTGAATTAAACTAGATTGAATAAAAAAAAAATTTATTTTTGAAATTATCAGTAAATTTTATAGTCATATATGAAAGTTATGGGTTTGTCACAATGGATTTTATGGCTTTCTTATCTCATAAGTAATCTTATCAAACTATTAGTAAATGTGATTATTCTATCTTCACTTTACTACGTTGTCACGCCAAAAAGTAATCCAACCGTAGCATTTGCTTTATTCATTCTTTACGCATTTAACGTGATATACGTGGCATTTACTGTTTCAACTTTCCTTCATTCAGGTAAATCATTTTCCTAATGTCTTGAAAAAGTAAATGTTGAAAATTATGAATTTTCAAAAGATTGTAAAATTTGGAAAAAAATTTTGACGCATTTTTTTTCATTTCTTTTCTAGTAGAAATATTTTGCAAATTATAATATCCTATTTTTCCATCTCCTTTTTGCAAATATTTCGTCAAAAATTTCAAACTTATTTTTAAGTTTAAATTTGTACGTCATATCCAAATTTAATTCATGAAAAATTTCCGAAAATTTTGTTATTTAATAATTAGGTGCTGCTGCAATGCAAATTATACCATTTATATGGGTCGTATTGTATGGTTGGCATCTCATCTTTAATGTTATGGATTTAATTTCACCTTTTTCACCATCAATCCGTTTGTTGAACTCACTGAATCCGGATATTGCTCTCACGTATGCATTAGGTTTCATGTGTCAACATGAAACACTTGGTTAGTTTTTCAACGAATTCTCAGCGATAACTTAATCATTAAGTTATTTAATCTCAGATTTTATCTAAGAGACGTAAAGCACTTATAAGTTCTTGCTAACCTTTGCTACTATTTATTAAATTTCATTAAATCATGAGAACTTCTTTTTAAACTTAAGTCCAAATTTCTGAATTCTACAAAAACCCAATTTTTCTTCGATGTCAGATTTTTGAAAGTACTGTATTATATATTTAAAAAATTTTTATTCACTACATCGAAGCAATTATTATTTTTTACGCTTTTAATGGCAAGTGCAGTAATCTGCTGAAAAGTTACTAACTAGAAAAACAAAGAAATATTACTTATTCATTTATTATAACAAATTTTAAACGCAATGTATTTCATATATTTCAAGATAAGAAGTTAAATTTTAGAGATATAAATTCAAAGTTAAGTTTTCCTTGAAGATTAATATATATCAGTTCACACGTAACACTTATGCAACATTAATTTTTCTATGAGAAATTCACTCAGAAAGTTTTGCATTTCAGAATTTTCACTTCAATTTTCACAATTCTTTAGGCTCCGGAGTGTCTTGGTCTCAGTTATTTGAAAATCCAACACCTGATGAGCCTCTGACGTTAGGTCATTTCTTCCTGATGCTTATCATTGATGCTACTATTCTTGCTATCATAACCTGGTATGTTGAAGCAGTGAATCCAGGCTTTGTTGGAGTACCACAGAAACCATATTTCTTCTTACAAGTGAATTTTGTTTTATTTTTATTTTATTATCCAAGTGAAAATTAAATTGAAACTGTGAAGTACAGAACTAATTATTTTGTAATCATCAAGTACCTACTGATAATGGATCTATGTATAAATTCATTACTTTTCGAGGTTTACTTTATTCTAAAAGTATAAACTAATATTTTTACTTTTTCAACGATCCTTCAAGCTCTTCAGAAGTACTGAAAGTTATAGTTTTACATCTAATAATGAATAGATTCTAATTTTGTTATTCATTGTCCTTGAACTAAAAATTAAGTAAAATCAACTCCATAAAACAAAATTTCAATTATTTGTTAAAGCGATCTTATTGGTATGAAAGAAATGAAATTCAAAATTCGATTGATTTTAATGATTCACCGAACATCGATTCCTCATTTATTGAAGTTGCACCAAAAACTTTGCATGTTGCTGTGGAAATCGTCGATTTGTGCAAAACTTACCAAAAATCTCTTTTACACAGACTTCTGTATTGTAATTTCGTAAGTTTTGTTTTTGCCTTGCAGTTACTGAATCATTTCAGTATTCTCTGCAACTTTCATTCGAAAATTCAAAATGAGCACAAATTTTGAATTTTCGAATGAAAGTTGCAGAGGACAAGAATTTATTAAAACTATAAGCAAACGGAGAATAAGTCAAAAAAATAAATTCTCTTTTTGCCTCATCTTTTTGGCGCCTGAAAAATGAATTTAATTGGACTAAAATGGTTCAATTTTTCTATCTATCAAAATTAGTGAAGTTTGATTGTAAAATTTGCTCCTTATCTAAATTTAATTTAACTAGTAACTTGATGAATCTCAATTTTAGCCTTATTTTATCGGTTTTAAATTATAAATTATCCTATTAGAATTATTTTTTAGAAAAAATAATATTACTTTTTTATAAAAATAATTTGAATTACAGAGCAAGAAAGAAACAAAGGCTGTGAATCATTTGTATACAAAAATATATTCTGGTCAAATAACAGTCTTGTTAGGGCAAAATGGTGCTGGTAAAAGTACCATATTTTCGATTCTTACCGGTAATCTTTATTGTAAACAAAATTTAAGATATTTTAAACAATTGTCTTCTATAATTTGAAAATTATTTTTGGAATTATACAATTATACAACAAACTTTCTCGCATTGAGAAGTAACTTTTTGATGCGAGAAACTTTTTTGCGATCAATGGATGATTGAATGTAGAAACATGGATAATTGTATCAATTTGAATATTTTAAATTGAATTTTTTAATTCATCAGTTCAGGTGTTCGACAACCAACTAGCGGTACCGCATATATCGAAGGCTATGATATCCGGAAACAACTACCGGAAATTCGAACTCGGCTTGGATTTTGTCCACAATATAACATCATTTTTGATTGCTTAACTGTCATGGAGCATCTTGAATTCTTTTGCAAGGTATTTTCTAGTAAGAATAGCAAAAATTATTTGGCTATGTTTGATGATGTCCGATCTAAAATAATTTTCAATAATTTAAAAAGCCAAAATAGTTTTAAAACAATTTTGAGAATGAATTTCTTAATCCGAGAGCATGAGACCTTTGGATGAGATTTTTTAACAATTTTACAAAATAAAATTTTTTGACAAGCATTTTAGAAAATAAAACTTGCAATGTAAAACCAAAAGTTTTTTCAAATTATTCTTTGTTATGTTTAATCTTTCTTCTCTTCTGAAATGGAAATAGAAAATTACTGAAAGAAATCAAAGTTCCATTTACTAAAATATTATGAAATGACTGAATTACAGTTGAAAGGGCGTGATTGGCAGGTGGAAGAGGCAAATGATTTACTGCATAGGCTTAAAATTGATCATAAAGCGCATGTTTACGGATACTATTTATCCGGTGGCCAAAAACGTAAATTATCCCTTGCAATTGCACTTATTGGTCGCTCTGAGGTAAATTTCTCTCGGACTTGTATGTAAAAATCATCCTTTATTACCTGTAACCTTTTTTTGTATCCTAAATGAAATCAATAAGGATATTAATAGAATATGTTGGTATGTGTCAAACATCAAAAAGAAATTCTGTGTTAAGAAATAATTGGCTAAATTCAATTTGAATAAATTTTTAAAAGCTTGAGTTAATAAGATATAAGATGAACGTGCAATTAATAAATGTGAAGTAATTAAACCATGAATGAAAATACATTTGATCAGAATTAATCGGTCATAATGACGTCAAAATAAATTCCACCCTTTAAAATTCATTCTTATTTTTCTAAACATTATTAGGTTGTCTTGTTGGATGAGCCAACTTCCGGAATGGATCCCGATGCACGACATGAAACTTGGTCGCTACTTCAAGATGAAAAGGTTTAGTAATTTTCTTAACTAAAAGAACTCAAAAGAAGGGAAATTAGATTTATACTTAATAAATTTCTCAAAAATTGATTAATTGCTTTTGGAAAAAAAATTATATTTGTAATGATTTCATTAGCGAAACAAAAGTCTTCTTTATGAATTCAAAATTTTCCAAATTTGCCGTTAATTTTTTTTATAGAAAAGGCGTACAATATTACTTACAACACATTATATGGATGAAGCGGATATTTTAGGCGATCGGATAACAATAGTAGCATACGGCGAATTACAATGCACCGGTTCAGGATTATTTTTAAAAAAAAAATATGGTAATTTTTACAAAAAAAAAAATTTCACAATATATTTCTTAATTTGTAATAAATTCAACAATACTTTATCGATTAATTAATCTATAATAGACTTATTTAATTTACAATAAACTAATCAATGAGTTTCAAGAAAAAATTTCTAAATTTCCTTTGTCAATTTCAAATAGAATTGATTATAAAGAGGGAAAAAAGATGATACTGTTGTAATAGAACAAATGAAAATTTTAATATCCAGCTGGTGAATATCGATTAACGGTATTGTATAATAAGGATAAGAAAGTAGATGATCATGCTGCAGCGGTATTGAAGACTTTAGCTTTACTTCGTCAATTCATTTTTGGTGTTACGATCCATTCATCGAATGGTTTTGAAGTTACCTTTTTGTTACCAGCAGATCAACGACAAAAGTAAGTTAAAAAATAGAAGTTTCAGTAAGAGTACATCACATCTAGTTCGTTTGAACTGATGCAAAAATTGATCTTAATTATTTATTTGATCTTGAATTTTATTCAAATTTTGCTAATATTTTCCAGATAATTGGACATTATTAATAATGTGATCTGCTTGGGATTAGTACAGTTAATTTATAACTTTCCGCTGAAATGTGATAAAAAATGTTCGGAAAAACTATTAATAATGTCCAGTTGCCATTTTAATCAAATATGATCTATACATTCAAAGTTCTACCAATTTATTTCATATTAAAAACGTTTAATTTTTTGCCTGACAATAAACTGTTTTAAAATTGTAATCTCAACTGCAAATTTGGCAATTTTTTTAATGCCAAAAGATGAAAATATAAGTTTAAAATTTTCTTAGCTTTCCGAGCTTATTTCAAAAATTGGAAGAAAGTACTGATATGCTTGGGATCAGTACGTTCGGTGTATCGGTGACAACAATGGAAGAAGTTTTTTTGAGGTAATTTCTGAAGTTATTGCATTTGTTATTCGAATAATTCACGTAATAAACTCAATCCATTTTCAGAATTTCATTTCAAATCTTTTACTCTTCTAATATCTTTAGGGTATGTCAAAACGCTGCCAAAAAATTGTTGCCTGCGTCGGATAAGGATATTGTAGACGACAAGAATTATCATTTTGAAGTTTCCGGTATTTATTTGAGTTCAACATTTCTGTTCCTTATAATATGTTTAAAATCTGATTATTATAAAAGTGACAAAACTTTATTATAAAGTAATTGAAATACGAAATATTTGTCGTAACTGTTGGACAATCATATCGAAAAAATGTTTACGTCCGGTAAAGTTATCATAGAAATGTTGCACCATAATTATTTATCAATTGTAGGAAGAATCGGATATTTAATAAATATTTTTCAGAATTGAAATATGAAAATCGGTTGCACGGTTATTCATACTATCTACAACATTTTCGAGCAATGTTTCATAAACGTTTTGCATATTTTTTCCGGAAGCGAACATTTTTTCTGTTTGAATTATTGTTTCCCGTAAAATTTAAGCGTGATTTTAACAAAATGTTTCACATATTTTGATAATTTCTATTAATTACGAGAAGATTCCTTGTGATGTGATCAGAAAATTCGTCTTTTAAATTTGTTGCAAATTTTCATTTTAAAAATTTTTAAGAGAAAATCGCACCAAAATTATTTCTTTTAAATAGAAGAAATTTCATAATAGTTTTGTTTATAGGCCATTTGTATGCTACTTATCATGGAAGCCTGCGTGATAATACCTGTACCAAAAGAGCAGCCTAAGCTTGTGATTGACTTTCAACCTTACTGTAGCGGTGGAATTAATGCTAATATCAATGTAAAAAATATAACGGCAGTATATTTTCAAAGAAGTCTTCCAGAGTAAATTTATAGAAATTTGTTACTGTAATTGAAATTATTGAACTTACCCGTTAATACCAGCTGACATTATGGCTTTCAAATTTTGAGATAAGCATGATACCAAGTGCACTATATTTGGTTAGTACGATATATGCTTTAACAAAGCTTTTTATGTTTGAATTTGACAACAGCAAAATAGTGGTTAAGTGGGATCTAAATTTGAACTTTTCTATTTTTAAAAATAAGAAAATATATTTTCGTTATTATTGTTGTAATTCAACTTGAAATTTTAATTTCCCCCCAAAAAAAGCCGAAACTTCATCATAAATACTTCATCATAAATAAAATAAAAATTTTAGAGTAATACGAGAGGCAGCTTCTATAAATGCCATGCACAAATGTCCGTTCCAAATGACTGTCACTGATAATATCACCAAAGAATTGATTGAAAACTTAGATGAAGTAATTTGCATTTTGATTATGTTTGATTATGTTTGAATCGTATATTCATATATTTTAGGTAGTTACTAAGAAATAGAATTATTCGTTAGTCAAAAGCTTGTTTATTTCCGCATTTCTTTAAAGTTCTATGAATTTTTTAAGTTTGATTCTGAAAAGTCGAATCGATATTAATTCATTCTGATTTAAGTTTATTTGAATTAAAGTATTGTTATTACATGATAAAATCTCTCTAAGATGAATTTTGCTTATTATATTTGAACTATTAGCCACAATATTTCCTGTTACCTTTTTGTTAAATTCATTTCAAAAAGAAAAAATAATAATAATAATAGGTAAAATTTCCTGCTACCGTATTAATCAATATTTCATAGATGAAAGATCGTGGTTTTGGTTTACATAATCCAATCGCATACAATTATTTCAACAATTTATTTATTCAGGATTGGTTGATTGGTAAGTTATTATGGTTATTTGTTCCAATACAACGTTACAATTAATTGAATTAATGAATTTATAAAATGATTGAAGAATTTTTTCAGCAATGTTCAATAATTATGCATTACATTCTCCTCCACTGGCAGTTAATATCGCTGATATAGCAATTATGAATAGAAATATTCAACGAAATATCTCTATACAAGTAAACATTTTCCAAGCATTTAATCAATTAGCTAAAAGAGATTTGAAATAGTCGCATATAATCGATTGGACAAATTTACCTTTGAACTAAGTAAAATATAATTGACGTTCTAAAATTTAATTCAAACTTCGAACTTTTTACTCGTTAAATTGATTTAAAATTAATTTGCTACAAAATAGAAATTCCAAACATTCATTACTAACATTATATTTCATTTTTTCTTTTTGAACAGGTCAGCAATCATCCATTACCTCCAGCAGCAACAGACACACTCAAAAGTCAAGATGTTATTAATCAGGCAGCGTTGACAATCGGTTTTGCAGCTATCATGTCAATGAGCGCGGTTGTTGCAAGTTTTATTAACTTTATTATATACGAAAGAACGAAAAAATCCAAACATATGCAGGTATTATGCTAACTTTTAAAATTTATAGAATTTAAATATTTCCAGAACATCACAATAATGTAAAGTTATCATTATCTCTACCCTTTGATAGCGCCTTATATTGCTATAATCATTTATTTCTTACTGACTAGAATTGAATTTTCCAAAAAGTTTCACTTGAAATGTTTGCGCTATATTTTGTTTTGAATTAATAATAACCGATAATTGAAATAAATTCCTAAAACGGTTTTATTTTTAACTAATTTTATAGATAATGTGTGGATTGCGACATTGGACTTATTGGTTTACAGCATTTCTATGGGATTTTACAATTTTCCTAATACCTGCTACACTTTGCATTGGCGTCTTTTTTATAGTTGATTTAAAAGTTGGCTAAATTTCAAGAATTATTCAATTTTAGTCAACATCTAATTAATGCTATTAATATGAGCACTCTTAGGGATTTATTTTAATCTTTTAATTTTAATTTAATTTCTTAATAAAAATTTTTTTGTTATTTCATTTATAATTAGGCAAAAAAAGATCGTAAATTTCAACATGTGTATTTATTGTAATTTTTCTCTATCATAGCTATGTTACGATATTTTGCTAAGAAATGGTGCCAACGAGTACCATTCTGTTATGGTACCAATATTTTCTATAATTTCTGCAAAAATTACACAAATATTTAGGAATTTATAACTCGCAGTACGGTAACAATAACAATATATTTAATTATGTTACTTTATGCTTTGGCTGAATTGCCGTTTGTTTATTGGTGTTCATCGTTGTTCAAATCGCCAACTAATGGAAATGCAACGATATGTGTTTATAATTTTGTAACAGGTCTTGTTCATATTTCCAAAAATTTAATAATTTTAGTGAAATTATTCAATTCTATTAATTATCCCTTTTTTCCATAAAAAAGGAATAATTTAAATTGCTCTATCGATTGATTTCTTTCTTCAATATGCCATTAAGAGATATCGAAGAATAATTACTAGCGCAATTTTTTTTTATCTAATTAGAAATGAATAGAATCATTTACCCAAAAAAGTGGAAACAATATGCAATACGGCGGTGGAGGAATTACGAATTATCCCCGCCCTTCATGAAGGTTATGGGAATTCCGAATGTTTATCATCAGGAATAATCACTTAATAATATCTGTCACATCAGGAATAATCATTTAGTAGTGTTTATAACATCGAGAGTGATCATTTAATAGTATTCGTCATATCAGGAATGACTATTTAATAGTGTTTGTCACATCGAGAATGATCATCTAAAATTTTTTATCATTCATTTCATATTCTTATATTGACCATGAAATAGGTATGATCGGTGCGGTTGCTGTTTCAATTGTTGAAAAAGCGAGCAGTAGAGATACGGCAAATACACTTTCCATCATTTGGTCATTACTGTTTCCCACTTATAATTTAAGTCTTTGCTTTTCGAAAGTTTATACAAACGAGCACACGCGTGAAGCGTGCAGAACTGTTGACTGTTCAGTTGAAGAAATCCGTAAGATCGCCAAAGAATGTTGTGGTAATAGCGAAGGATAGTTTTTTTCTTCTTTTCTAGACAAAATTTCATATTCTGATGAATTTACGATAAATTTTAAAAATAAGAATGAAAAACTTAGAGTTAGGAATTTTTCATTTATATTATTTAGCATCCGAACGATATGCATTGTTATATCAATCAGAATATAGTTGTAATTAATTAAAGCGTTAATTAACTTCTTATTGATAAAGTGTACATGGAGGATGATGAGATCATTGTATACATGTTTAAAATGGAACTTTTGTGAAATAACTGAAAGAAGGAAAGAATACAATTAAAATTGTGACAGAAATTGTAAACTGATATGATATATTTCCAATTTATACATTTTCCTTGATCAATTCAATCATACTATTCTAATTTTAGCTTCGGGTTTTAGATTTTTAATTAATGATGAGGCAAAAAGCAACATAGTTCAAGTTCAATAAGCCAAGCTAAAATCTGAAAATATTCGAATGCCTGAAATTCAAAATATTACATTTTAGAACGGTTTTACGTTAATAATATGTTGATAAGTACGGACAAAATGGGAATGGCATTAATGATTGTATTTTTATTACTTCATTCCATCATTTTTTGGCTGGCTATTGCTGCTTATGAAACAAACTTTATTGGAACTGTTAAACGATGGTTGCGAAAAAGTGCCAAGACAACTAATAAGGTTGGTTAACTGGTAATCAAGGATCATATAATTTTTGCTTATTTTTTGCTACCATGATATCACTTTTCACTTCTAGAAACCAAAAGATTTTATTTTTTGAGAGAATGAGGAAAAAATTGGATCAAATTAAGAAACAGGGCTGATTCATCTTCAATCAACCTTTTTTTCTAAGAAAATATAAAATCACAAGTTCTCATAAATAATTAGCTAATTTCAAGAACAACAAAGAAATTCAATTGAAAAAATGCTGTTCTCTCTTATTACTGATGGCTTTAAAATTGCTTCAATTAAAATTAGAAGAAATAAGTCGTTTTTTTGCAGATAGCAAGCATAGAAACTTTTCAAACTTGTTCTGAAGATATGGATGTAATGATGGAAAGAGAAAAGGTAAATAAAATGAAAAATAGTGATGCTTTAGTGATCACACGCAATCTCGAAAAATGGTATGGAAAGCTGAACGCTGTCAAGAAGATCAATTTTCATGTTGCAAAAGGCGAATGCTTTGGTTTATTAGGTTTGTTTAACTTATTTTCATTCAAACTAGAACTTTGCTACTCCTTCAGGCGAAAAATACTGCAATTATGAAAGAGGATTTGCCAAGAAAATTTATCTGTTTCAATAATATTCTTCTAATTATAAATTAGATTTCATTTTTATAAAAAAAATTTTTACAATTTCCTATTTTGGAAATTTCCCTTCAAAAGATGTTATTAAATCGAAAGGATTTTTATTCGGTGTGAATGCTGAATTGAAAGTTTAAAATTTTTAGGTGTAAATGGAGCTGGTAAAACAACAACATTTCAAATGTTAACTGGTGAAATTGAAAGCTGTGCGGGTGATGTTTACATTCACGGATTCAATATCCGAACTCAATGGAGAAAAGTTTGAATTATTATTTTTCGAAAGTTAACATGAAATGACACAAAAGAGAAATGTATAAGGTTGCTTTTAGTTTCAGAATATAATATTACGCCATTTATTTTGCAAAACAATGAAATCATCATTTACTATGCTTTTTTAAAGGCATATGATCATGTCGGATACTGTCCACAATTTGATGCAATTATCGATGAAATGACCGGTCAGGAAACGTTGCAGATGTTTGCACGGTTACGTGGGGTCAGGGAGTGTGATGTCATGGGAATAATTGATTCGATTATTCATGCTGTTGCACTTAATAAATATAGAAATAATCTGATTAAAACATACAGGTTAGCTTTAAATGAGACTTTTTATATGACTGATTCCATATCATCTTTTTTGTGATAAAATTCCTAAGATAATATTTATTAGTTTAATTATATCTGTGTGTATACTTAACAAAAAATATTGCTTAAGATAATGGAAAAGTCAGTATGTCGTATTTGAAACATAGAATAAGTAAATTCATTCATTTAAGAAAAAAATATTTCATTTTGCGATATGCATAGTCGCAATTCTTGGAACGAAAGAATTTACACATAATTCAATATATTTTAAATTGACTTTAAAATTATAAAACTTTCCATTAATTATAATTTACATATTCAAAAAGCATAGTTAAATTTAAAAAAATCAAAATGTCGAATGGTATACATATTCAAATTTCAGATGATATATATATATATATATTCAAGTTTTAGATATCAGCTATATAAGGCATTTTTTCTGGACTTCAGTAATTTTTGTAGAAATTTTAAGCTGTGAGTTGTTACGAAAGTTGTTAAGCTTTCTTTTATTTGGCAAAACAACAAGTAGGCTTAATGACTGAAAGTGAAGAAGTGGTCAACGAATTGCCGGATGTGCTTGCATCTGATGTCAATTCCGAAATAGAATTTCAAATTAAAGCGATCAACGGCCATGAAGGATCTGTTATAAAAAAGGGAAAATACAAGGGTCAAATTATGGGCTTATTCACAAGTGGGGGTGATGCACCTGGAATGAACAGTGCTGTACGTGCGATAGTTCGAGTTGGTCTATATTTGGGTGCACGAGTATTCTGCATTCATGAGGGATATCAGGGCATGGTTGATGGTGGCAAGTTTATTAAAGAGGCTACTTGGGAATCAGTTTCGGATATAATCCAGAAAGGTGGTACAGTTATTGGTTCAGCACGTTGCAAAGATTTTCGGGAACGAGCAGGGCGATTGAAAGCGGCGGCGAATCTCATTCGACATGGTATTACATCACTAATTTGCATTGGTGGTGACGGATCGTTGACAGGTGCGAATACATTCAGAAATGAATGGCCTGAATTGGTAAAAGAATTATTAAGCACAAAGACTATTACCAAAAAAGATGCCGAGAAATGTAAATCGATCCAAATTGTTGGAATCGTCGGTTCAATTGATAATGATTTTTGTGGTACTGATATGACGATTGGAACGGATACTGCATTACATCGAATCACAGAAGCTGTCGATTCAGTCCGTTCAACTGCTCACAGTCATCAGCGATGTTTCGTTGTTGAGGTAATTCACATAAATATTTGAAAAATAGGAATCAAATTTGATTAAATATTTGAATTTGAAGCAAAACATTAAGTTATAATTCTTTTTCCTCTTTATGTTTGAATCCCATTTTCAGGTGATGGGACGTCACTGTGGCTATCTGGCATTAGCCGCATCACTAGCACTGGATGCTGACTTCTGCTTCATTCCGGAATGGCCACCACCTGCCCACTGGAAAAATATTTTATGTAAAAAGTTGAAACAAATGCGTGAAGATGGAAATCGTGTCAACATTGTAATTGTTGCCGAAGGAGCTATTGATCACAATGGAAGCGCAATAACATCAAATATGATTCGAGATGTGATTAAGAAGAATATGAAATATGATACTCGTATCACAATCTTAGGACATATTCAACGTGGTGGCAGTCCATCTGCATTCGATCGATTATTAGGTTGTAGGATGGGAGCAGAGGCTACAATAGCATTAATGGAAATGAACGAGGAATCGGAACCCTGCGTCGTTTCCATTGATGGGAATCAGATGGTACGGATTCCATTGATGAAATGTGTGGAACGTACAAAAGCTGTCAAAACAGCAATGGATGCGAAAGATTGGACAGTGGCTTTAAAACTACGTGGTCGTAGTTTTCGACGAAACGTGGAAATGTATCGTACTTTATCCCAAATCCGTAAACATGAACCAACACGGGACGGGTTTAATATTGCTATTATGAATGTTGGCTCACCATGCGCTGGTTGCAATGCAGCAGTGATGAGCTGTGTCCGAACGGCTATTCTTCAAGGATGCAACCCGTACTGCATCTTTAATTCAAATGAAGGCCTAGCTTCGGGTCAGATTCAAAAAATGGAATGGAACGATGTAGCACTGTGGTCAGCAGAAGGAGGTTCATTCCTTGGCTCTCAGCGTACTCTTCCCGATAATGATACCTTACCATTAATAGCCAAGAATTTACTACGTTTCAATATCAATAGTTTGATTATAATTGGTGGTTTCAATGCATATCACACATGCTTAATATTTGCTCAAAATCGTGAAAAGTTTCCACCATTTCGGATTCCAATGTGTGTTATTCCGTCCACTATCAACAATAATATGCCGGGTACCGGATTTACACTCGGTGCTGACACATCGTTAAATGAAATTTGCAAAATGATCGATAAAATTAAGCAATCAGCAACCGGTTCCAAACGTCGCGTTTTCATCATTGAAACGATGGGAAACTATTGCGGTTATTTGGCCACTTTATCAGCAATGGCAAGTGGTGCCGATGCGGCTTATATCTATGAAGAAATTTTCAATGTGCATGAACTAATCAATGATATACATGTTATTGCAGAAAAGATGAAAACCGGAGCTCAACGTTACTTAATAGTTCGGAATGAAAAAGCATCAGATAATTACACGTCTGAATTCATCCGACAACTCTTTACAGAAGAAGGTAAAGGTATTTTTACAACTCGAACCAATATTTTGGGTCACACTCAACAAGGTGGTAATCCTTCACCGTTTGATCGACTTTTTGCCGCAAAAATGGGTGCTCGAGCGGTTGTTCATCTTCTTGGACAAATGAAAGAATTCAGGAAGACAAATCTTTACCACCCCGGCACAGCAACATTACAGGGACTAATCGGCAAATATGTCTGCCTAACGCCAGTGGAAGAATTAATGGAAGATGCCGATTTCGTTCATCGTCTACCTATAGAACAATGGTGGATGAAACTGCGACCGCTATTGCGCATACTTGCAAAGCATGATTTTTAAAGTTTTGCAAAAACACGACGAATCTAAGCTTTATCTGAAAAATCTTTATTGCATATGAAATGTACATAAAATATTTATAAACTATTGATAATTTCAACAAATTAACTGCCATCAAACTGGAAGCTAATGAAAAAATGAATATGTTGAGGAATATCGATCACAATTTAGCTCACCACGTCATTACGCCATCATTAACTCTTGTTTAAAGAGTGTAATTTAGCATGTAGTAATTTTTAAGGACTCTTCTGAAAATGTACAAATTACCATTTGCACGTTATCAAAGAACAAACTGTACTACAGAATTTGTATATTTTAATTTTCATTATTTTGGTAGTTTAAATTTTTTATTGATCATACTAAGTATTTTATGATCACCTTTCGAAAAAAAACATTCTATAAAACTTTTCTCAAATTTGAAAGTTTTTTTCTTTTTATTTGGGAAAAATTTGGAATTGTTCTCTTTAGACTTTTAGTTATTTTTATTATTATTTGAAATGAATTTAATATTTTGACTATGAAAATTTTAATCAGCAAAGAAAAAAAACAGATAGGTGAGCAGAAGGAAGGGAAAAGAAAAAAGAAGTTAAATGTTATTGTAATGAGAATTTTGATTTCATTGGTGGCAATAAACGACGCTTGAGTCTTGGCGTTGCCTTACTAACACTACCCGATGTTCTCTTATTGGATGAGCCAACAACTGGAGTCGATCCAAAAGGAAGCCGTCTCATTTGGGACATCTTGTCAAAAGTAAGTCCAAAAATCAGCATGAAAATTGATTTCAAATAAATGGAAAAAGGAGGAAAAGGATAGATTTGTAAATTTATTTCTTTGTTTCTTTCAATACATTTTTCTTTCAATAAATCAGTGAAAAGATAAATTTATTAAAGATTAGAGAAAGTGATATTGCCTTGGTGCTCACTTCACATACCATGGAGGAATGCGATGCGCTTTGTACGCAAATTGCAATTATGACAAATGGTGAATTCAGATGTCTTGGCAGCACACAACACATCAAGTCAAAGTAATTCAATAATTCATTGATAAAAGTTAGCTTATCCGCTCAATAAATGATCAGGTGTCTCTGAATACAATTTCGGAAAAGATTTTGGAAAGGTTTAATTTACTGATACAGTTATCAGCACAACAAAATTTGTCAAAATTTATCGAATACTTCCAGATATGGTAACGGATATAGTTTGGCAATACGATTATGCAAAAGTAGTCAGATTGGACTAACAAAAGAGCTGATAAAAAAAGAGTTTCCTGATGCGCGACTAATGGTCTCTAAATATTTTTATTTAAAATGATGGAAAAAGTTTACAGCAATGCTCTAAGTCTTTTTTCCTTAAGTATTTCAAATAAATTCCGAAAATAGTGAATTTCAGAATGAGCATATATTGCATCTAAATTACGAATTAGCGGTACAGAAAGGGCAAACATGGTCAATGCTCTTCGAGAAGATCGAAAAATTGGCAGCATCGATAAATGCAGCCGATTATTCGATCAGTCAAACAACCCTTGATCAGGTGATCATCGAATATGCATACATAAAAGTTTGCATGAGACTTTGACTTTGAAATAATGTAAGAATGTTTAAACATAAAGCATTTCTAGACGAAATCCTTGCACTTTCGGTGTCACCACTATTTTATTAGAAACAGATTGTTTTTCGTAACGAGTTTCACTAGTATCCTTAAAGCAATCACTTTCAGATATTTATTGATTTCTCAAGGAATGCTAGAAACGATATCATCAAATCCCGCTTCTGAGAAACCATTCAGTGTTAGCAATGATTAACCAGAAATTTATAATCAGAAGCATTTCAATAACCGGTAGTCCTTTGCCATATTTGTCCTTCCAATTGATGTAACTTTTATCTCATTATCATTTTAAATAAAGAGTTCATTTAAAAAATTTAAAAGAGATTATTTAAGAGCAAAAGAGCTTATTGAGATGAACCTATTTAAAATTTTAAATTCTATGAAATAACAATTCTTATTTATTCGATTTTTAACTTTCTGCTTGACAAGAATTTGGATAAAAAAATATTGAGAAGTCTATATTAACAAATAAAATCTATATTAACAAATAAAAATCAATTTTGTTTGGTGAAATCAGAATTATTCTTGGCATTCTACTAATGTGACTAGGCTGCTAGATTTTCTGTCTTGAAAATGTTTCTTTCATAAAAGGTAAAATGATTTCCTTTGAAGATGAATTACATGACAAATTCATTTTTGTTATTGAAAAAAACTTTTGATTTTTCACAAACCTAGAAAATACAAAAATATGTCAAGCAAAACTACCGAGGACACAAATCGAAAATTGCATTAATCATTTTGAGCCCAAAATAAGTTTTTTGATTAAATCTTATAAAATAATAAAACAGATTATTAGTCATTTAACATTTCAACTGATATAATAGATTATTAGATATTTAGCATTTCAACTGAGGTATAGTTGCTAAGTTAGCAAGTGATATTTCAGATAAATGCTATCCTCAAAAATCATTGTATTGAGTGGCTGATAAGCTAATAGATTAAAAACAATAATAAAATAAATAAAATGGCTGGCTAGATAACTGATCGTCGAACTGAATAATCTTCTTTATATTGTTAAAGCTAAATAAATAAAAAATAAAGCTGAAATAATTCTATAGATTTAAAAAAAATCCAAGGATGTGGAAATATGCAAGAAATCAACTTTTGGATTTAGAAGGTTTATTATAATGCAGTTGAGAATTATAATTAATTTATTCTATAAAATCTAAATCTGTCAAAGCAAAATTTAATAACGGGAATTCCGGAAAGAATGATTGTTCATAACATTTATTGCTAATCCTTCCCGATTTAACTGGAAAAAATTATCCACAAGTTGTAGAAATAATGAAATTGGCAATCTTTTTAACTCAAAATTTAAAATTTGCAAAATGAAAATTTTATTTTAAAGTTGTTTCCAGTAATCTGTATTCAAGTTGCCATCATTATTTATTATTATTACCATTATTATTGTTATTATT